TCTGGTTTTGAACGGAACTTGATGAGCCCGTAGCCCTGCGCCTTTGCATGCTCTCTAAGCACTTCCTCGGCTTCATCTAGCGTACAGTAGGACCGTGGCGGTGGTGGTTTGAGGGCCATGGTGAGTGTATTGAGGAAGTTGAGGATCAGGATGTAATGCTTTGTGGCCACGCCGCACTTGGAGAGAGCATTTGGAATTAGTGAGAAACGTAAGCGAGCGAATCGGAGGCCCCGGAGCACTCCTCCGGACCAATCAGAAGATCAGACGTAAGAAGGGTGTATACGGAGTAGAAAAGGGGTGTACACCGAGTAAATATAGGGTGTACATTTAGCAGCGCCCTAAAACTATACATTGCTTCCGTGTTACCGGTTTTTGCCTCGTTTATTGGTGAGACGTAAGCCAAAGCGGGGCTTGAGAATAAGCCCAGGGCAAACAGGCCACGTATGATTGGCTGGATCGACAGTCTAAGTGTGATCCTCACGCTAATTCGAACAGAGTAAGCTACTGATGGCTTACGGGCGTGCGAAAAAATAGGTACCAAGGAGTTCGCGACCAAATATAAAATCTCATATGAGCCAGTCCAAAAATGTGTCTCATAATCAATCCGATTCTCTGTTCATCTCTAGCAGATAACTGACTCGAACGATAACTTGTTCAATAATGGCGTTCCCTTGGCCCACCTTTACCAAAAGTTTCCATAGCTCCATCTACCCAGCAATAGATCCTTCGAATCCTGCTCTGTCAGTTAAAAGCAAAATTATTCTCGTCACCGGCGGAGGCAAAGGAGTGGGAAAACACATTGCTACAGTGTTTGCCACAGCCGGCGCCAGCACCGTTGTCATTCTCGGGCGGGCAACCTCTTCTCTCCAAGCTGCAGAAAAAGACATATCAGCCGCAGCAGTGTCATTTGGACACGAGACTATAGCTCGATCCTTTGCTGTCGACATTTGCGATGCAGAAGCCGTCTCCCGTACCGTCAGGACAGTCTGTGAGGAATTCGGCACAATAGACGTCTTCGTCCATAACGCCGGCGACCTGCAATTGGGCACAATCGAAAGTTCCAACGCAGAAGAGTATTGGCACAGCTTCGAGGTCAACGTCAAAGGCACGTTGAACTGCATGCAAGCCTTTACCCGCTTCGGCGTGAGAGCGGACGACACGACGCCGCCTACCTTCATTAATGTGTCGACGATGGGCATCCACATGGCCCCAGTTCCAACTATGTCTGCGTACTCGGCATCAAAACTCGCCGCATGGAAGATGGCTGAATACCTTCACGTCGAGATGGGGGCCAAGCTGCGTGTATTTTCAATCCATCCTGGACGAATCGAGACGGACATGTCAAGGAGGGCGGGTATTCCTGCAGCAGATGATAAAGGTACATTCTGGTCCATTCACAGTCGTCAGATGGTGGTGACTAACTTGGTGAAGAATTGCCGGGCGCATTCTGCCTATGGCTCGCTGCCACGCCCGGAGTAGACTTCTTGCGCGGGAGAATGCTTACTTCTAATTGGGACGTGAGCGAGCTTCTTGAGCGAAAAGACGAGATTGTTGAGAAGGATTTGCTTGTCATGACACTTGCTGGATGGCGCGAGTGAGCTGGAACTTGACACAATGTGTCAGTGACCTTCTTTTAAGGAGGATTGATCTGCGAAGATGTAGAAGTTGGACACAATAGCCTTTTTTCTTTCTAATTGGACGCCACGTATTTGCATCCCGCACGTGACTCTACTTCTTTGAGGTCGAAATTTCATCCCGAATAGCCCGTAACGTGTATGCGAATATGTGTTCACCATCTGTGATCCAGGCCTCCCCAAATTGAGAGTTCTGGAAAAGAGCGACACAGTCAGTTGTCTGCGATTGGGCTTTCACATGCGGTGCAACCAAGTCCCAGCGACATCCGCGAGTCTCGCACCGTTGTGAGTTCGACCAAATTAAGCAAGCTGAGGTTGGCATAGGTTCATGTCGCTGCAGGGCGCGAATCGAGGGCGAAACCTTCAGATCAGCCCTTCCACGAACTGAGGCGCAGGCAATTTGGATGCCTGGTGGAAACGTGCACGGACGTAGTTGCAAGGGGGCTGACCTTTGCTGGCCAATAACGTGCAACAACAGGGGAAAAATGACTTACATAAAGAGGTTTCTGGGGGCCAAAGGGGAATCCTGCGGCAAGCTAAGCCGTAAAAAGATATGAAGCAGCGTATGATTGCATGAGTAAGCTGTGCATGCTTGGCATTTTTCCGGGTCTTCTCGCTTCCCCCAACCTCAGTCCAAGAGGATGCTCATGAGCGTGGTTGGCGTAGAACACCACAACCACGATTTCTAGCCTATCGGAAACGTCTCCCATCGAGCTGTTGGGAGGTTAAAAGTTCAGTGGGGCCAAAAATGTCTGTCATACGACACGATGTAGACCACATGGCTTGAAATAGAGGGTGACGACAGTGATATTGAAAACCAACATTTCAAAAAAGGATGCATCGACAGTATATAGCCTCTCAAACTCATAGAGAACTGTATTGGACTCCAGCAACTGTGTTGTGGGTGCCTGAGAAGATTTTGTCTGAGGCCGCTCGTTGTGAACGCCCCAAGGGCTGCAATTTCGGTCTGCGAAGGCCAAATGACCTCGCTGCACATTTTAGGTCGCTCAAATGAACGTATAAGCAATTGGGTGGTGGTGATAAGGAAGGACAGAGATAGTACGTGAACCTGATGAGGTGGGGTGGTGGAATCCATGCGCTCTGCCCTTGGGGGATGCATGCCAAGGCCCATGTCGGTCCTCACCTTATAAGTCAGCTCCCCCCAACTCCTCCCACCATCCCTTCTACCCTCCACTCCTCCCTCCACACTTTTATCACTCAACTCACCAAAGCCATCACAAATCGTCTCAACTTAGTGCGCTAGACCCAACACCATCGAAGCTTGTCTCTGCTAGTGGTCAAAGCTCTCTTGTCTCGCTGCAGCACTACCGGCTACCAACACCTCGTCGCCGCCGCCTACCACAAGAAAATCTTTACAAGCGTATCGAGTCAGACTAATCATGGAGTACCGGAGAGTTGAGAGCCACGATGGCGCTGTCGTGCGAGTCCAGGAATATCGTCGCCATGCCTCGTCGCCGGCCGGGGCTGCGTCAGACCACACCTCAGGCGGCAGGAATTTCGCTGCCAAAACCGAAGGACCATCCATGAAGGCAGCCAATCGGTCCAAAGAGCAACGAAAGAGGCCCCGCCAGGTCGTGGTCGAGGCAGACTACAGCGGCCGTCGAAGTGATTCCAGCCATCACGTGATTGGAGATCCGCCAAGGCTTAGCCGATCACACGCCAAACCCGTCATTCACCAAAACTCGCCTGACGCAGCCAAGAACGTGACCCAAACCCAACTTAACGTGAAGAACACGGGGTTCATTCAGCCTGACGTCCCTTCACCGCCGCCGACCCCTAGGCTAGGAAGGCTACCGACACCAGACTTATCTGACCTCGACGAGACGCCATTTTGCGACTGCTGTGAGGAATCCAGTCGATTCAAGTACTGCACGTCTTGCGGATGCGGGATTGAGCGTCCCATGTTGTGATTTATGTCGATGTTCGGCTTTCTTTGAAGTGGTCTTCTGATTTAAACGGTATATCTGAAATTGTCGAGGCGCTTTGACGGATCTCTTCTGTATGGGACTCTCTGTTGTCTTCTTTGGTAGGCGTTGCAGGCGTTTGCAACTTGCCGCAAGCGATCTCGGACCTCCACCTCCAATTTATTAGGTCCGTGGTTGGGTGTCCATGGAAAGCATAAACTTTGATGGATCCAATAATTGGCAAAGGAGACTTGAGCAATGAGAACAGTGAAATTGAGTGAGATGAAGGGCATCATGACTTCCCACTATCGACGACGAAATACTTGCCGGATTTGCGTTCTGCATATCCGAGGACATCCCAATCTTCCGCATCCTTAGCATCAATTTTGTCCGTCCTTCGTCGAATCCGCTTGTGATGCTTCCCAATGATATCTTCTTGAGCCAATGCATCTTTCAAGGTCTCCATGGTGATTTCCTGCTCTTTCCCTGCGGCGGAGGTTTCGTCTCTTATTGCTCGCAGTGGTTGCACTCCTTGGGTATCCACCTCCTGGATTTCGCGAACAAAATGTAGTTGTGAGGAGAGTGTATCTAGCATTTTGGTCTCTTCTTCGGCACTAGCTGGCAACGGCAATGCAGACAGTCGTAGGAGGTGGTGAAGTTGCTTCGATGAAATCTTTGGCGCGTCGGTAGGCTGGGTGTCGGAGGGTAAAAGCGATTGGACAGACCAGGAGGGCTTTGCGAGCTGTTGTTCCCAGTCTGCCAATGCCTCCGACGAGTTGTGTCTTTTGCTATTTCCAGGCATAGAGCGTCTAGTATTCGATTGTAATAGAAGGGTGGGACGGGCTGCCCGTACGCAAATCAAACATCGTCGTGTTGCCATACTCTGCAAGCTGTTAGCGAACGCTGAGAAGTGACTCGGAATTCTTACGTGCTGAAGTCCTTAATTTTATTCCACGAATGGGTCCTTGTAAGTTTCACAAAGACGCACAGCAGATTCCAAGAAGTAAAAGAATCAAAGGAGGATTGATGCAGGCTACACGTGAAGGCAATCTGGTGAAGGGACGTCGTTGAAGGTGGATGTGGGGCCGCGGAGCCGAAGTTTACCCGCGCCGCCCGCCAACGACTCGGGGTTCAGCCTACAGCCCAGCCAGGTCATCATCTTCAAAGAGAACACGGATTCTTATTGACCTCTTGCCTCCAACAACTTGGCTTCTACTCGACACTTTCCTCGTATTCACTTTGAATCTCCGGTAGTAATAGCACAACATGGCTCAAGATCCCAGGGTGGCTTTACAGAAGGTGGGTACGCCGCCTCACCAAGCCGCCTGTGCCACTGCTAACGAGCCCTTGCATACAGGCCGATAAGGCACTTGCGGGTGCGGGATCCGGATTCAGCTTCTTTGGAGGTCGCTCCGATAAATGTACGATGGCTTGGCTGAATCCTCTTCTATCCTCACTTGCTAGGAACAAACTGATAGTCCGAAGATGAGAACGCCGCGGATCTCTACATCCAAGCCGCCAATGTTCGTATTTGCTAAAATGCTCGATACAATAAATCTGCTAACCTTCAAAGGCATTCCGCATGGCGAAGCAGGGTACGATATTCTTTATCATTTTATATGATTATCAGGCACGTGACCACTAACTCGGACCCAGGAATGGAAGCAGGACGGGCCTTTGAGAAGGCCGGATCGATTCAGCTCACGAATCTGAACGAGCCAGATGACTTTGCGAATACCATGTATGTTTGACGTGTTCGAGCCGAGGGCATCATAGATTGTCCGCTAACTAAGATGACCATGTAGGACTGAAGCCTTCAAGGCGTACAGGTTAGTACGATGTCATTCGGTGTAGGGACTGAGCTAATTTCCACAGGAAAGAGTCGCCAGAAGATGCCGCGAGGTGTCTCGATAAAGCCATATCACACTACGCCAGTAAAGGCAATTTCCGACGAGCTGCAACTCGTAAGTACTGCCGGATGTATGCCCCTGAAACGATATCGCTGACTAGTTGTAGACAAACAGAACATCGCCGTATGTCCCAGGTCGCTCTAAAAATCGACCACCGCTAATCGACGAAACAGGAACTCTTCGAGGTGGAGCTTCAAGATGAAGGACGAGCTGCCGCTGCTTACGAAGAGTACGAATCCTTTACCTACGTACTATTCTTGCTAACTAGTTTTAATCAGGGCCGCATCTTGGTACGAAAGTGTAAGTTCACATATGCTCAATGATGAACATGTTAGAGTTTCTAATAATTCCGGCTTGTAGGACAATGCCGAAGGTTTGGAATCCCCAAATAGTTTGTCATGATATCGTCGCTGACTCCTGATGTCCAGCTCTTGCAAACAAGCTATGGCTGAAGACTGCGGATCTGGTCGCACTCGAGGGCAAAGACTGTAAGAATATAATGGAGTCAACATAGATTCTGACTAACAAAAACCTCCCAGATTATAAGGCGATCGAGCTTTGTACGAATCCCGACTAGTTTAATTTCCCTTCTAACATGTGTCTTCTAGATGAGCGCGTCGCAAAGAGTTCAGTTCAGAACAATCTGATGAAGTGGTCGGTCAAGGAGTAAGCGATCTGCAATCTTCTTGCAAGTGTCATTCTAACCCATGAATAGGTATCTTCTCAAAGCCGGAATCTGTTCGCTAGGTTTGAGTCTCCATATTCTAATTCAATATCGTTTTCTAACTTTAGTACTAAGCTACTGGAGACATGGTCGGCGTCAATGCCGCACTGGAGCGATACCGCGACCTCGACAACAGCTTCTCCCAACAACGGGAACACCAACTCCTCGTCGACTTGGCCGAAGCATGCAAGGAAGGCGACCAAGAGATGTTCGCAGACAAGCTCTTCCAGTATGACCAGATGTCTAAGCTGGACAAGTGGAAAACTACTATCCTGCTGAGGATCAAGAACAGCATCGAGTCAGTTGAGGAGGACTTCTCTTGAGCGAGTAGCAGTCAGCTACTATGACAGAATGAAGGCTATGCGGCATAGGGCAGGGGCGGGGTTTTCTGTTTTGAATACAGGTCTCTCATTGAGGTTGTGTTGCTCATGGAGTTTTTTGTAGCCTGGACACGAAATGGCTATTCCTTTCCTTGGGTTTGCCATTGCTCTTGCTCACTCCATCACTCTTCGTCCCCCTACACCTCTCACGACATATATATTTTTCTCGGGCTCTGGTGCAGGTGACATCACACTCTCATGTGTTTACAACCACTCATCTCACAGTACTGGGCCATAGTTCTAGGCGCACAGGCACGTTCCTAAGTATTACTTTTAGAAGCTAACACCACTTTCAGGAGAAGCCCCGTTCGCCGGGAAGCCAGCCAGTCTAGAGTTAGCTCAGATTCTACTCTACACGAATTAACATCCCTTCAGGATCAGGGACACTTTGGGGCACTCCTAGCACTGGTAAACGAGTGTGCATAGCGCAGAGACTTATGGCCTGTCACTGTAGAATGCGAGGGGTAGGCAAATCAGTCGAGCATCATCAAGGCTGGAGGGAAGCATTGTTCTGATTACAGTACCAGGACACAAGTTTGGGCACCTTTTTTTTTCATGTCGTCTCACTTTATGTTGAGGTGCTGAAGCACCACAAACAGTGGCAAACAGGCGGACTGCCAGCGTGTGGAGCCTCTCTGATTCGAGCTCTCCGGGAGTTTACATCTTATCATAGCTCCTAAAATCCGCCGAAGCATCTCTCACGATGGTGAGCAAACGTGCCTGGACTTTTGGCAAGGCACTGTACAGTACAATGCCTTGCCATAGATAATTGTACACTCTCCTGCCACTACTTGTGGGGCTGCAACGTACCCATAGAAATCTACATACACCCTGTTGACGCTGTCTGGGGTAGCCTCACGAGTTTACTAGTTGTCCAAAACGCCGAATTTCTCTTCCCTTCGGAATGCTGAAAGTAGTTTGAAGCTCCTCAAGCAGCGGCAAACGAGTGTACAGATATCTATCACGAGGCATTGTAAGTAAGAGTAATGGTTTCATTCTGGTTAAGACTATCTCGCGTCGAGACGCATATCGAATGTCCTAAGGATGAACACATGAAAGCTCGTTGTCTTCATATCAGACCAGAGAAGAATGAAAACCGATAACCTTGCAAGGTTATGTGAAGCAACCCACAGCTACCCAAACGAGTAGCAACAGGCTCGACATGCCAAGTAGGAATGGCTCAAACCCTTGGCCTCCAAATAATAGACCCGTCAATCACAACCATCCAAGAGAGACGCCGCAATATGCCCTAGACTCCTCACGAACACCACTGCGTCATCTCTCAATTGCACCCACCAATCGCAATCATGTATACCTGGATCACATCGCCATCCTCCATCTCCAGCTCCGCCGCCGTATGCTTGTCCGTCACGCGCGTGCCCTCGAAGTTGAACACCACCGCGTTGGACAGGCCCGTCCGGCCACGGAAATTCGCCATCACCTTGCCCATGCGAGTCGTGCGATTGATGTCGTAGGTCAGCTCGCTGCCGTCTGGACCACGGACTACGATTCGCACTTTTTCGGTTTTCGGGGTGGGTGGCGGGCGATGGGTGTGGCAGGGCAGCTTGCAGCGCGGTTGCAAAACTGGACGCGGGTTGGTGAAGGGGTTGAGGCTTGAAGACGGACGAGATTGAGCGGAACCGTTGGCAGTCGGGCGACGAGATCCGTGGGGCTGCCTTGCTTTCATGGAAGCCGAGTCATGGCCGCGCTTGCGAGAGACAAACGCAGTGGTCTTCTGGTTGAGTGAGGACTGCGACGGTTGAAATTGCTGGCGGTACTGCGACGCTTGATATTGCTGGCGGCGAGGTGGATAGACCAGCGGCTCTGTGCGGATAATCGGTGTAGAGGTTGGTTCCACACTGGCTCGAATAGGCTCGCCTTGCTCGTCGAGCTCTTGCAATCCTTGGGTCTCCTGACGTTGTGGCTGCGGTTTGATGCCCTGAGACTGAAGGAACTCGGAGATATCTTCTTCATCATCGCTCATGTCGTTTTCGACGTGCAGAGGGCGATAGGGGAGGGCTGTGCGCTGCTTTTTGGCCTGGTGAGCTGGGGACCTAGCACGATCGTCTTCCATGTAGCCATGGTTGTTTCCTGCGAAAGAATCTTTAGCCCTGCCGAACTCATCGAAACCGTCGGCCATGACATCGTCGACGGAGCTGAGAAGGGGTCCATCGATACCAGCCGAGGTCTCAGAGATGATGTTGCTTCCCTCGTTGTCCTCTGCGATTTCGACCCGGGCTCGCTGTTCACGACCAAGACGAGCTTGCTCACGGAGTGCTTGGCTAGTTGCGGATCCACCGCTGCTCGGATTTCCAGCGTCGATATTTCTGACATCCTCCTCTTCAGCATCTTCGACTGTTGCGCGGTCGTCAGGACGTTGAGCTCGCTCGAGATTTGATTGACTCGTCTCAGCCCCTCCAACCGTAGTAGGAGATCTGCTGTCAAGATCTCGAGAACGTCTGAGGCCCTGATGGCCATCAGCTCTCTCCTCGTCCCCCAAGCTCAGGTGGACGTGCTCAGCTTCTTCTCCCTGCCTATCTTCCGTGCCACTCATGCCCATGGCATCGCGCTGCTGATTCTGGCTCTGTGCTTCAGTCGTAGGACCCAGCATATTCGGTTGGAAGCTCTTACTAGCTTCGGCGGTCTGCATAACTGTCTGCTCGGCCGGCTGCGCAGGCGGCGTGCGGTCTGGCTCGTTTCCGCTCATTTCAGCTGTACCTGATGTCTGCAGCGGGTTAGCCCTGGTGTTGGATGTCTCGAGGTCACGACGCCATACGGACCGCATTGGATTGCGGAACAAGAAGCTCATGGTGTTGCTTTGTAGAAAGAAGAGGCTGAGGTCATGGAAGGTGGTTGAAGTAAGGTGAGGTGGTGCGAAGTGAAGTGGAGGAGTACAAAAGAGGATATGAGGGCAGCAGTGCTGCGCTTAATCAAGATAGGCGGCGCTGATAACGGATTATGTGGCACAAGTGAAGAGCTATGGAAAGCAAGAGATGACTGTCCTAAGGGTAAACGGGAGACGGAGGGCGGAACAGGAAGATATCCACGAGCTATCTGCCTTTAACAAAAGACGAAAGGGAGCAAAGGGTCACAAATCATCATGGAGTACAATACCTTGTCATAGAAACCTGTACACTCGTTTGCCGCTGCATGAGGAGCTTCGTAGTATTTTCAGCAATCCGAATAAGAGGGAAGTTAGCATTTTGGATAAGTAGTAATCTCGTGAGGCTACCCTAGACAGTGTTAATAGGGTGTACCTAGATTGGAAGTGTATCTGCTGCCCCCTGTTCCTATTAGCACGTTGGAGCCCCATAGACAGTGGTAGGAAAGTGTACGGATATCTATGGTAAAGCACTGTAGGACCATAATTAGGAAAGGTATATACTTCCAGAGTGACCATCCTATTTCATGAACGTTTATCATTGCAGTAAACCAAACCAGCTACAAGAGACAATCTCACCCGATTGAGGATATACCCATACCGGTCGACCATGCCCGCTTTTCAAACGCTAATGCTAAGCCAACAGGAAGCGAACCGTATCGTATTAGACCCGATACCACCCCAACTTCTCCGCTTGTGATAGTGTCAAAATTGGAAACACTCAACTTCTGTCATGGCGAGAGGCTCAAGACCTCGCCTCTTCGAGTTCTAGCTCGAGCTGCCGAATGCGTTCGTCCTTCGCCCTTGTGTTTCCCGGGTCACCCACCTTGGCTTTCAGGGTGTTTACTTCTTGGGTGAGATTCGCGATTTGCTCGCTCTGGGTCGTCATGGCGTGGGCTTGTTGCTCTAACAAAGACTTGATGTCCGTCAGGTAGTCTTTGATACCCGCAGCAGCGCCACTAGGTGTAGGGCCGTGATGCGCAGTGGTCGGGGTTGGGGTCGGGGCCGGTGCGGCTTCTGTTGATGGAGTCGCTTTGGGAGCTGGAGAAGTGGACACAGGGTTAGCCTTTGGCACTGTTGCGCTTGCAGCTGGTTTCGGCGGCTCGGGATCCTTGGTCTTCTCTTCTGCCCGGGAAGCAGCAACCGTAGGTCGCTCGATCGGCTTGGGGATTTCTTCAAAACTGGATGTTTCGTCTTCCTCATCGTCTTCCTCTTCGTCCTTGTCGGCAAACTTGGACGCCATTGTAGCGATAGACGCTTTGTTGTCCTTCAAGGTCGGCACTGGACCTCGCGCGGGCACTGTCGATGTCGTAGCTGGGGTTGTCTTAGGTGGCTCAGGTTCAGCCTTCGTGGCCGGTGGGCTGACGACAGGTGCAGCCGATGCCGATGGCTTGTACTCGGATGGGATATCCGCGGGTACATCGCCTTCGTAGACACTCTCCAGTGAGATCTTTGGTGGCAAACCAGTCTTGCCACCAAACCACTCAGAAGCAGATACTGCAGGCGTACTACCTGTGGTCGGAGGATATATGTCACTCTGGAAGACTTCGGCTCTCCGAGGAACAATGAACGAGATTGGTTCAATGTACGAATCGTTGACCGTCTTGAAACAACGTAGTACCTCATTGTCGTGTAGCTGTGACGTATTAGTAGGGGCTGTTGCGAGGGAGGGAGTGGATGCCTTACATTGACACCTCGCTTCGGCATGAAAGCGATGCCTCGCTGGGGATCAGCTGATTTATACTCAGACAAATACTCGAACTTGTCGTGCTCGTATTCGTAGTACCGGATGTTTCCATCGCTTTCGAGGAGTTAGCTGACTTCTTGATATGAGTGGGCGTATACTGACCCTTTTCCAGCGAGATACAAGCACTGAGTGCCATCATCCCAGAAGGGCATGCAGACACCTGATATGGAGTCGAGGATGGTGAACCCGCCGATGGGTTCCTTTGGCGACCTGGAGTCCCAGAGACCCAATTGACGATCGCTCATTCTCGAGAAGCCGGTAGTGGCAATTCTGTCGTGTTCACCCATCCAGACGGCACGGCTGTTCTTTGCGCCGGGGTGACCTGGCACTTCGTGCACAGACTTTTCTTGTCGAGTATCCCAAATGCGCATCTTCTTATCGCGGCTAGTGGTAACGAGTAGAGATCCATCAGCATTCCATGACATTGACTGGAGGATATCGGCATGTTTCAAGCTCAGCTTGGTGGCGCCAGCTTCGACATCCCACAACCTAACAGTGCAGTCACCCGAAGAACTAGCGAGGACGTTTTCAGCGGCAGGATTGAAGAGCACGTGCCCTACTTTCCTGTACGGAGTCAGTGCCGTCATAATAGAAGAGTCTCAGGTTGAAAGTACCGGGTGTGGCCAGTTAGTCTGGCGACTGGAGCGACGTCTGCTGGTTCCTCTGCATCCGAGTATAAGGTGAAGTCTTTTGGAACTTCCCATATGAAGACCTATCCGTAGCTCAGCGCCCAGCGTCTATACCTGAATGGGGGTGCACGCACCTTTGCGTCGTCAGAGCCTGATGCGACTAGGGAGTCGTTGAAAGGGCTCCTGCAAATCAATCAGCACTCCGATCTTCCCAATGATATAGCGACTCGTGTTTACCAGTCCGTATCGAGCACCGCTGCAGTGTGGCCCCGGAAAAGTGGCAGCTGTTCAGGCAGTCTACCGCGCTCGTTGATAGGAATGACGGCAAAAGCTCCTCCTCCACTAGCCTCCCAGTTGACAGATATGTATTCAGGATTTGCCTGGCTCGGGTCTCAGTAATCGTGTACGGGGCTGCGTATGGAAGATGCGGACCTTGATGATGTTGCTGTCCCACGCATTTTTGGAGATTCGAAGGTTGTCATAGCATTGTTCCTAGAAGTAGAGAGAATTAGATAACGTCGAGTCAAAGCAGCAGAAACCCATCTAGGCGTACCTTCTTTGTCGACCGTCCGAAGACGTGTCCTGCAGGCAGCGCATCAGTGTAAGCTCAGCTGGCGGGCACGCGCGAGACTCACGATATTTGGAGGCTCTGACGAAGCGGCCGGCCATTGGGAAGCGGCTGGAAGGGTATAATACAAGAGGCTACAAGAAACAAGACCTCAAGTGTGTAGGAATATGGAATCACGGCGGCGGTCTGGGGCGGAGAGAGAATGGGGAGGTCAGCGTTGCGAAAGACAGCTGCTGGGCAGGTGTTTCATAGCCCGCTAGCGATCGACGACCACCCACCCACGACCCTGGCGTGCCTGGTCGGAGCGACACTCTCAAACAAAGCCTAGCTCGGCATTCACTATTCAGGAGTGTGTTAGCCTCAAGATAGGTCTTATTTGCTGCTATGGACGTTGCATATCTCAATTGCAGGACTGGCCGACAAATGAAGCTTTGGGCCAATGATACATATAATGTCTACAGGTATTATCTACTATAGTACAACAATACAGTACAGCGCACAACTGCGCGGCTTATCCCCAGATTTATTCCGGAAGCTAGGCGGCACCTCAGCGTTTTTTGCTGTCAACAGCGGCTAACACGTCCTTCGTGAACGTCAGTCCCTCTTTTTTCTCCTCGTCTTGCCATACTTTAGTCAATTCTAGTGCCTCTCTTTTCGCTACCGTGTTCTCCTCGTCCTTGTCTCTGTCTTCAAGAATCTCCTTAAGAACTTCAACGGCAGCCCACCATGCGGATTTCCTACGAAGCAATCGTGCTAACCCGAGGGTCGCCGACCTATGTGCATCCACAAACCCCAAGAAGTACCACTCGAATGCCATTGCTTCTCGCCCGGAGAGTGGTAAGTCATCGGGTAGCCCTGGTAACCTTGCCGTCAAACCTGGCCCTGATTTCCACGACTTAAAGGAGTCTATCGCCTTCAAATGCCGGTGTCCCGTTAGTCCCACTGATTGGGTTGCTTCCTGCTTGCTTTGCGCGTAGAAGTTGCCCATGTGGAACATTGCATCAGGATGCCCAGAGGAAGCTGCCTTGGTCATGTACTCGAGCCACTCATCCGAGTACATGTCGCCACACTCGGCGAGATAGAAGTACGCTAGCGGGTCATCGGCTTTCGTAGCTCCAGTATAGAAAACAGCCTTGGCAGCCTCGAGGTCCGGTTCGGCCTGTTCCAGGAGCAGATTGCCGAGAGCAATCCAGGGAGCAGGAATGGGCAGAAGGTCGTGGCCGCGGACATTATCAACCTTAAATGGCAGCTTATCACCTGTTGTCCCAGAGTTTACATCCAGCATCTCACCCTCAGATACTTTGCGCATAGCTTTTTCAAAAAGCACACGAGCTGCTGCATCATTTCTTTTTGCCCTTAGATCTAAGCCGACGAGGATCATGGCATCTGGATTTTGGTCCTCGTAGGCAAGAGTTTGGAGATGGCGTCTGGCGCTAGCAATATCTATTTTGGGAATATCCAGTGCCCATTTTTCCCTGGCACGCACACAACCCAATATGGTGAGTGTAGCAAGAGGATCTTTTGCCTCAGAGCACTCCAATATCATTCGTCGACCGGTGTGGTTCATAAGCCTTTCGGGAATAGTGAGAAGCAGACGGGCGAGAGGCGAGTATGCTTCGAGGGGATAGTCGTATTCTGACAATTTGCATTAGTTAGGATATGTCAAGGAAAGAAGAGTCCGGAAAGGAGGATCTGGGCTGCAGAATATACATACGTTCCCGTAGTGTTTCCAGGGTACAGGTCTGATAATCGTGAATAAGGATCTCGGCCTCTCGTGCTGGTATTGATATCATCCCTTGGTCGCTTGCACTTCCTAAGCGATCTTTCATCATTTGAGCAAATAGTTGAGCTTGCTGCTCAGCTTCGTCATCTCTTGGTGGGAGATCGACCCTGCGTCTATTTGCCCATCTATTTGTCCACTCGCGCCTCCGCGTGGACGGAGCCTTAGTAGGTTTTCCTGCGGCGGAGCGGCGCGTGGGACGGTCGAGGAATTGGCGGGTATAGCACCACACGCAGACATTGTTCCCCAGAAGCGTGTTTTGGAGGGGACGGAGTGCCAGGCGAGGGGGTTTCATGGCGCATTGGTGTCGTATTGACTAGGACAGAATGCTGTCCAGGTGCGCTGAAGCTGTGAAGTGCGGAGGAGCTCTTTCCATCTCCGCCGGCCTTGGCGAAATATTTCCTCTTGGCGCGATTTTTCTGGATTTTTCCAAGGAGCTCCACAAATAAATTCACCACAATCCGCACAGCCTCATGTTCTCGCAAATCTACAGCCGCGCCCGCAGTCTCCTCAGCCGGACGCCCTCAGAACAAGATACATCGACCATACAATCACTGCAAACGGACCCCTATACTGGTCCACACGGAGCCATGGTCGCAACGAGACGCCCCGCCGTTGACTCTGGGAATGCAAAAGCACGCTCCAAAAGAACACTAGATGATTCCTCTTCGCCAGTGTCTGATGCCAAACGGAAACGGCCTGCCGTGGACCACGCCGATGGTGGCAGCAACAGTTCGGAAACCCTGCTAGACACAATTGTCGTGCATGTGCGGGAAGAGAGGGATGCAGAGGGCAACGTGCTTGACCTTCGGGAACAGCTCTTGAAGGCTGCTCAGGGAGATGAAACTTCTGCTGAACGTTTGGTTTTGCGGAGTCACCGGGAGTTATCCGAAGAGGACGTCGAGGGCGTTGAGAGTACGAAAGAGAGCTCTAGCAGACACACCAAAAGCTCTGTTCCTATCAGTCCCAGTAGCAGATCGACAGCTTCAGCTTCACGACCCACACGAGTCTCGCCTTCGCCACGCACCCAACGTCCGGTTCAGGATTCGGAAACCTCTGAACAGAGGTTGAGCAAGACCACCCCTTCTGCCTCACAAGATTTCATCTCTACAACACCTGTTGGAAGCCAACAAGCCGGCACGCCGTCACGTCAATCTAAAGTGCAAAATCGTCAAGCTTCTTCATCACAATTGGCAGTGGACAAATCTCGCCCAAGAGAAAAGGGTAGAAAGAGCATAGATTCCACGACAGACGAAGCCATCGACACCACTTCAGACCCTCTGAAATTTACATCAGCAGCATCAACCACCCGAAAGCACATTCGCTTTGGCAGCGAGGAGCCGGAAGTACCCCTAGACACATCGCCGCCACTCGCTACAATTGAGAGCCATACCGCCCCAGCAGACGAAGACTTGTCTAGCGATGACGACGAAGCCCCTGAGACCATCACGCATGCTTCAGCTATTCAACAGACTAAGGCCTCGGCGGCAGAAGCAAGCAAAGCCATCGGAGAAGCAGTAGCGGCCTCGGAACGCAAACGCCAAGAACGCGCAGAACGACGGGCCGAGGAGCAGAAGCAAAAGCAGCGTCGCCAGGAAAAGTCGGCAAAGAAGGCTCAAAAGAAAGCCTCCAAGCTGGCTCGGCTCGATACAGAGCTTCCTGATCTGCTTCCAGAATCCTTACTTGCGGCGGCTCCCGAAAAGCGTCCTCTGACACCACCGCCTGAGTTCATCGACACAAGCGTGGAGGACCGCAAAGTCGAGCAGCAGAAGCGGCATATCAAGTTCCTTGAACAGGCCGACAGGTACGTCAAAGATGTCAAGCGTGGACCGATCCGCATGCGTGTCTTGGCCAAGCCTAATGAGCTCTTGACGCCGAAGGTGAATCTGGGCTCCCGGGGACTAAGAGAGCACTGGCTGAGGGGCCGGGAGAAGGGCAAGGGAAAGGGGGCTGACAAGAAGAGTACGCGAAAGCCGCAGAAGCCCAAGGCAATGGAGCGGAAGAGCTTTGGTGGGTCTTTCTTGAGGAAGAAAGCCGAGTTCTGATAGATGGGTGTGTCACGGGTAGAGAGAAAATGTGCTTGAAGCAAGCCGGCGTAGTATCAGTCAGTCCCATGCGGCTATAAACTTCTGGTATGAAGTCACGTAACCGGGTGTAAAATGTTATATACTAGTCGCTCTAACTATGGCCGCAGTTCTTCTGTGTCCTGTTTGTAGGCATCTTCAATCAAGCTTAGGTACTTCGTAGTCTGAAGCTACTCCGAAGAATCTGATCTACAATCTCGCCTCACCATCCTTGAACATTCTAAAAGGTGTGGCACACCTAATACTCCCAAGCTTCGGTGTTCACCACGTGTGCTGGGCAATATAAATCCATCGTCGCACACTTCCCAGGTTCTCTCCCACCACCTTGAGCTACCTTATCGTACCAGGCCCTTGGTAAAATCCCCGAACTCGTGATGCCTCCCTCCCAAACACCCTTCGACCAGATGCCCGCTAGCGAATGACGCTTCGTGCAACCTCTACGGTTTCTTGAGCCACACCCGGTGAGACATGCGACGGGAGGGCGCATGTGACAGTGCTCCCGCACCGGACGCAAACACTTCCATTCGAGTCAACACAACCTCGACGTTGGTTCTACATATAGAGGCTCTCTTAGTGGGCATGGTGGGCGGAATCCAACACCGCTGTGCCGCTTCTCTGCGGTCTGAGGTCCGTAAAACCCCCGAGCGCGCGGGCCATGGGAAGCTCGCGCCACAGTGTGCCGATGGGCGAGGGCGGGTGGCAATAGGCTGGGCGCGCTGGCTGGCACTGCAGCGGCGCAGGGTGGGCCTGTCTGGTTAGCCGCCCGCCCGTCGTACAAGCACGGTGGGTGTGGCGGGTGGACTGCGGAGAGTTGAGATGGGGGTTGCTGGCTGTTGGTTGCGGGACTTGACGCTACAGGCTCTGGGGGTAGTTTGAGATGGAAGGAGCTCATATGAGGGGCTGCTGTAAGACAGAGCGGAGAAGAGAAGGATTCCAAGGCTCTGGCGAGTGGTGTGAAGAAGGTGGATGGCAGAGCGTGATTGGATGCAGGCCGTGAATGCTGCGCTTAGAGGGGCGCTCGGGGATGGGGGAGATGGGCATCTTGCCGGGGAAGGAGCGCGCTAGAAGGGCGATCGTCGAGGCCTGCGCCTGTATCACGGCCTTGGCCCTGGAAGGGAGGAGAGGTGAAGCAGATGGACAAGCTTGGGTGCCGTCTGTACTGCGTTGCTGATATCGCATGAGGCTGCTCCTGTCGATGGATGATGCCGTGAGTCGCTGGTCCCAGATCTTGTGGCTCTTCAAGGCAGCGGGAGCCTGCCAGATGACAGGCTGGGCTCGTCTCTCCAGATGGCAGAAGCTTGATCGCATTTGACGCTGGCACACGCTCGAATAAGCGGCACCAGGCGCAGAGGGCCCTGCAGACACCAGAGTCGCCGGCCGCATGGGGCTAGCCAGAGGGCGGCCAAGAAGCAATACAGCCTCTCTCTCTGCAGCCCGCGCCCCTGTCGCTGCTGGCATCACGGCCGCCGTCGCCCCGTCCAGCCTGCGCGGTACATGCCCACCTTCCATCACCACCTCACGCTGTGCCTCTCCACCTCGACAAGTCCCCGTCCACCACCAACAGCCCCAACTTCGCCAGCGCCCTCCGCGTCGTGCTCTCGCCAATACGCCGCCCGGCGCGCTGCCCGACCAAAGCGGCTTTCCTCATTTCCCGCCGCGGCAAGATTGGGTTAGGCCCGCGACCTGCCAGCCTCAACTCAACTCACCTCACCTCCCATCGCCATCCTCCCGTCACCACCTCCATCCCAACTCGCCCGCCCTCCCCGCGCCCGCTCTCTGCACTGCGACCGCTGCGCACGCTGCCCGTCTCGCGCGCCCTCGCTCTGGTCGCCGCTGCGTCGCCAATTGCCACCTAGGGCTCCGCGCAGATCACTTCTCCACGCGACAACGCAAGGAGCGACTTCCATCACCCATCGCCCGCCGAGCGGCCCCAGAGGCCCAGCACGCCCGTCTGAGGCTGAAGCTGCCACACCATGAGCCACGAGCCCCTACAGCCACCCGCGGATCAGGCTCGTCACCCTGCGGCGGAGAAGGCCCTCCCCAGCGACTCCACCGCCTTTGCTCCTCAGCCTAACGGGCTCGGTACGTCTGTCCTCTATCTGTGCAATTGATGCTCTCGATTGAGTTGTTCTCGTATGCTTTGCCGAGAGCGCGCTGACATGTGGTGCTCGCAGGGTCGAACGCCAACGCTCCCCCGTCACGATCCTCGTCGCGAAAACAATTGACCGCAGACGAGCTCACGAGACCCGAGTCGGCATCCGCAAACGCTGACAGCTCGCTTACACCCGAGGGAGAGCCCAAGAAGAAGCGCTCGCTGTTGAGTATTCCTGGCCGTTCGTCGAGGACGCAGCAAGACGACTCTACGCCCACGGGTACTGGCCTGAGCGGAGCAACTGTGGCAGACTCTTCGGAAAGCATAGGGCGCGGCTCAAAACGCTCGTTCACGGGAAAGCGGAGGGCTGGGAGCACAGCAAGCAGCAAACACTCGCAGCGGCCCGTCACGTCGGAGAAAGCAGCACCGCCATTGCCCGTCGCAGAGCACGCTGAGGGATCGACGCTTAGCCAAGGAAAGAAGAAGAGCGGAGGAGGTTTCCTGTCGTTTCTGAACTGCTGTGGAGTGCCAAAGGGTGGGAATTTGGTTGACCAGGACGACACCACGGAGAACGCAAAGAAAGCCAGCAAGCTGCGGTCAGGTCGGAGCACGCAGCCGACGCCGGTGAAGAAGCAAGATGCGAGCGCGGCTGAATCAAGCACGGCAGATTCGAAGGACCCAATCGATGAGAAGTCTGGCGAGGCGGTTTACACAGGAAACAAACGTGACAGCGATAAGCCCCTTCAAGGGGACGCGACTGCGGAGAGGCCTACTCCGCAAGTGACGACGACGGCACCTATTGGCCGAGCTCCTTCATCCTCAAAAAGATCAGTGGACCACTCGCTTCCACCGCTACCTACCCAGCCAGATCGTCTCGACACTTCCTCTGCCTCGAATCCCCAAGTCATGATCCAGGCACCAACGCCCATAGTATCGCAGGAGGAGGAGCAGTTAATACACGACCGGACACCGCAGCAAGAGCAACGGGACACTGACATTGAGATGACAGACGCCTCTCCATCTTTACCTTTGTCTACTAATGATACCCACACTGCCGGCGAAGAGACTGCTGGTTCATCGTTGCAAAGAGACGCTGCTCCAGTCAAGGTTGACTTGCCACCACCTCCACCGCTTGCTGAACGCCAAGATCAGACTCGGCATTCTATAGGTGCTGCACCACAAAGTCAGGAGAGTTTAGCGACGGCTCCCGCAGAACCTCAGAAATGGTTGCTGCCACCAATCAGGTCGGAATTCAAGGGAAAGAAATGCTTAGTCTTGGATTTGGATGAAACGCTAGTGCACAGCAGCTTTAAGGTAAGCCATCTTACCCCCTTTCGACCTCGAACACACAAGCTTACTCTGCATAGATTCTTCACCAGGCAGACTTCACGATCCCGGTGGAGATTGAAGGGCAATACCACAACGTGTATGTCATCAAACGCCCTGGAGTAGATGCCTTCATGAAGCGTGTTGGTGAGCTTTACGAAGTGGTGGTGTTTACGGCGTCTGTATCAAAGGTAAATAACGCTGTGGTGCTTGTATTCTTCAAAGCTAATCTAGTCTTAGTACGGTGATCCTCTGTTAGACCAGCTTGATATCCATGGCGTGGTTCACCACAGACTCTTCCGAGAGAGCTGTTACAACCATCAAGGCAATTATGTCAAGGTCCGTCTCTCCACAGCTCATACTCTCAAACAATCACTGACCCTTTCCCAAGGATCTATCCCAAGTCGGCCGCGATCTCCGCGAGACCATTATCATCGACAACTCGCCCACCTCATACATATTCCACCCACAGCACGCCGTCCCGATCAGCAGCTGGTTCTCTGACGCCCACGACAACGAACTTCTCGACCTAATACCCGTCCTCGAAGACCTCGCTGGCCCGCAGGTCAGCGACGTCAGTCTCGTTCTTGACGTAGCGTTGTAAAGCAAAAGTTAAAAGCAAAAAGCAAGAACCCTTTGCGAAATCATTCATTAATCCTGACTATTCCGACAAAATTATGATGAATTGGGTTGCTCGGGTGCTGGGGTCCGGATTTTGCTTGTTGCGGATGGAACCGAGCTGGAGAGTTGAAAGCATCACCCTTTGCGCTCTAGATTGTACTGTTTAATTATTATTTCCTTTTTCGGTATGTCTGCATGGGACAGACGACGCGCGCGGACCAGCGGTCGGAAGTCGTGTGTGAGATGGTGTGGTGGGACAATGGGAACCGCGCTCTATCAATCGAGCATCCGTCGGCACATCTATAACTTGTGCATCCACACCTTTTTTCAATCGAGGACTTCATCAAACTCTTCCGTCAGCTCTGCATCCGTCAATTCAGCTTCCGTCAGCACTACGTTCCATCAGCATCCATCAAGCCTCCATCAGTTGAGCCTCCACCGGCCAATCTCTTTACCATGCCTCTCAAGTTGACTGCCGCCGCCCTGGCCTTGGCCTGCACCATGCAGATTTGTTGGTCATAAAAAGTCCGCCCCGGTTTCGCGCAAAGGGTTTCAAAAAGGAAGATGGCGATTAAAGAGGGAGAGAGAGAGCATGGAAACAAGCGGAGGAAATGGAGGAGGGGGGGAGCATTGCATAATCTTTTCATTTCACACATTCCTCTACTCAGCGCTACTCCCACCACAAGCACAGTCCGCCACAGACAGCATGGCCAGCAGAACGTCTAACTACTTTCTATCAATTGTTTATTTTTCTTTTTCTTTTTCCTTGGAACCAAACTAGCATTGCTCGGGTGTGTGTTGTTTCGTGTTTTATGTGTGTTTTTTGTTTTTTTTTTTAACCTGTTTTCCTTTTTATAGCGGATGCGAGAATCGCATCATCTCATCAATCTTATCGATTTTTTAAATACCTACCTCTCTCGCTCAACTCCGCATATCTCTCTCTCTTGGCTGTTAGTTTGTTTTATTCATGTATCCACACACCACACGGCGATGGTGCTTGCTTTCTCCCAGCTTTTTTTTTTTTTTTTTTTTCCCCTTGAAAGTTGAGATGGATGTAACCCCCCCAACGCGCACGGAGCGCGCGAAACATACATATTGCTAACTGTGTATTTTCCCCGGGGGCGGGGGGCGGGGGGGTTGTTTTGTTCTGGCGAAGAGAGGGCATACTGTGGATTAGATATATGTAATGTCAATCCAATCATCTAAACTCACCTTCATGCATTTTGGCCATTGATGCACAAAGTGCTAGTAGTCATGAAACATGACAGTGAGAGGCTAATACCATTTGCATACTCACTCCCCGCATCATTCACGCGGAACTAGGGGTGAAAATAAGAAGTCCTTTTTGTCGCTGGCATAGCATTTGCGTTTCGTTATACGCAAGTTCAGGGTATATAAAACCTCATCCATGATAGAGTAAGGAACAGCCACCTTCCGCCGCATTCAACCGCTCCCCCTACCCCGTCCTCCCCTCTCCCACAGCCATGGCAAGAGATGCTGCTATCACACACGCATCATCGCAATACCAGCAGGTATTAGATAGAAAGCTTAACGGTCCACACCCAGCAGCCAACCAGAAAACCATACGGTATCCAAACACCGACCCCCATGCAATAGAAGAAAAAGTAGGCTACGCACCGCAGGCAGCGCAACCCAGGCCGCTAAAGAATATAGACAATTGAATGCAAAATGCAATGGGATCTGACCATGCGGTCGACGCAGTTTTCCCGAAGTAAAAAATCGCAGGCGTAATCGTAGTCTACTTGCCGCTGTTCATGAGATGAGTGATGTTGTTCCACTTCTGCTTCAGCGTCTCGTGCTCCGAGTTGATCTGTTTGTATCATTAGCGGCTGCATGTGTACGTTTCAAAAGGGGGCTAGCTTACCTCAGCCCATTGCATCTTCGTCTCCACAAGCTCCTTCTCCATGTCCGCCAACTGCTCCTCCAGTGCTCGGTTCTCGTTATGCACAACGATGTTCTTCTGCATGACAGTATCCATCTCGGTCCTTAGCTTCGCCTCGACCTCCTCGGGCTGCTTCTCGACGATCCGCTGGAGTTCCTCGACCCTTGTCTTCAGGCTCTCGTTCTCGTCGCCTAGCGTCTCGTTCTCGACTTTGGTGCGCACAAGCTCCGACGCCATTTGCACGTGCTCCGTGTCGCTTTTCTCCGCGCGTTCCTCGAGCGAGCGAACCTTCATGGTGAGCGTACGGCATTTCTCCTCGAGCGATTCGAGATGCTCCTCGCGCTGTTTTTCGACTTGCTGCTTCTCCCGCCACTCAGTCGCGTAGAGCTTTAGCATTTCCGGCGTGACTTTGACCGCGCACGCATCCTGGACAAGCATGTCGGCGCGGTAGACTTCCTTGTCGATACCGCCGGTAGAACCAAAGAAGCCGCTATCGAGGAGGGAGGAGGCGGACGGAGTTTTGTCGATGTAGACGTCGAAGAGGCGCTCTTTTAGGAATGTGGTGAGGGCGGACATATCACGCATACCGAGGAGGGTTTGCGCGTTCTTTTGCATGAGGACGATGCCGAATTTGAGAATGGCACCTTCGAGACCTTCGCTGAGAATGAGGTCGTAGATGCGAAGAACGAGTTGGAGAGGGAAGCGGTAGGCGAAAAGAGTGAGGAACCATTGCGTGGCGTAAAGATCCGGCTTGACGCCGCGGCGGTTGAGATGACAGTAGAGTGCTGGTTCAAAGTCTTCCAGAAGTCGCTCGAATTGGTAGAGATGTAGATGAAGACCTGGCATGCCGTTGATAAACAGGTCTCGTAGGCCATATTTGTTCATCAGTCGAACCAAGAGACAAAACGCTTCTTCTTCTGGCATCTACGATCTTGATCAGTCATATATAGAGGGATGTCTCAACGTTGCACTTACATTAAACAAAAGTGGCATGACAATGAAATTCATACCCTGTGCATAGCCCACAGCCTCATCAAACAAGGCATAAGCTTTACACAGACCGAACAGTCCGTCTTGGAGCCCATTAGCCATGACATACTTTGAATAACTTGTGCGTGCCCCCAAATCGCGTTTGATAGCCTTTTCGAGCTTTGATATCGCTGCAGTTTCTTCTTTTACCTTCTTCTGCTTCTCTGCCGTCAGTTTCGCGTGCAGCTTGGCCACTGCTTCATGGTCATCGCCTAGTGTTGTCGGTGAACCTGTGGGAGCAGTTGAAGCGGGGGTCGATTGGTTTGAGTGCACTGAGGATGCCGATGAAGCGATAGAGTCTTTCTCTTTCCCAGTCCCATTGGCACGTCCGTTGTGGTCCCCGCGTCCGAATCCCGGAAGATGCATTGTGACACGTTCCTTATCCGTGCCCCTAACGACAAGCTCTTTGTATACACCCTCGAGCTCCTCATTCTTGCTTTGAGCCAAGACTTGCCATACCACACCTCTTATTGCCTGAGGAATGCCACTGGCAATAGCCTGGTTGAGCTCTTCCGAGCTTGTGCGTGCCACCGCAGCAGGTCCTTCGTAGACCACGGATTGCCACAAGTCCCAATCAACTGGAGCAGCAGACTCTGCAGGACCAACAGTGAATCCAGCTGCAGTTCCAGGTGCTAGGTTGGGATTGATAGTCGGTTGCTTTGTCAATGGCCCGGGCCCTGGGCTCGATGCTCCTCGTGACATGTGTGGTACGTGTTCATCCTTTTCGTCGGTAATAGAGGTTGGATTTCCGATTCCAAGGCCTACACTCGCTGTTCGCCCAACCAGACCAGAAAGAGCTCCCCCAGGGCTTGTAGCACCCTCATGCTCCTCTTCCAACGAAGTTATTCCTGCCTCTTCGCGCATGCGCAGAAGCTTGAATCGGTCGCGGAGACTACTCTGACTAGACCTGTTGGTCGATCCCTCCCCATTCCCCTCATCTTCGATTTTGCTTAGCATAAGCTCGGGGTTGCTTCCAATGGTTGCCATTGACGCGTTCGTGTTCCGCCGATCGTGACCAGGGGATACGGCCGGCAGGGGGGGTGAAGTGACCTTCTTCTCCGTGTTCCCTCGGGAAAGCCAAGAAAAGGGACTTGTGATTTTTCTGGTAGGAGGCGCTGGAGGAGGCAGAGTATGAGGTTTTTCGGCGGGGGCAGCAGGCGGTGGTGGGAAGTTTACAGGGGCCATTGTTCCAGAAAACCCCTGTAGACCAGAGGGGTTCCGTGGTGGTAGTTTTGGAGGCAGAGTAGGCGGTGGCGAGTGTTGATCTGGTCATCGTCAGTGCTGGACTACAGGTACTATATCGCCTGTCGAAGTGACGTGGTCCCCCGAATTTACAGCGTGGACTAACGAGCAAAACGGCTTATGGGATTGCCCTTTGCTAGGTTGGGTCCGCTATAGGAGAAGCATACACTAACCTTCTTCCAGGTTGACTTCGTCCATATCCGATGCGTCTGACAGTCGGTGTTGTGTAAGAAGGGGAGATTTCGAAGGCAGGGAGTTCTCGTCGGTCTGGCGGGCATGGCCGTTGGCTCCTTCACCGTTGGACATGTCGGGCAATGGAGGCTCTTCCCTGCTCTCCTTGGTTGTAGTCGTCGAGGAGCGTCGTCGGGTGGTCAGAGATCGCGACCTGGAGCGGTCTGAGTGGGAGGGAGGTCGGGGGGTCATGTCGTGGGCGTCTTCAAAGGTCTCCTATTAGAAATAACAAGTCAGCAGGTGCTCTTGCCTACGCAGACATGTTCAAGAAGGAGTCTTACGCCATCGCCAACTGAACTCTGCACACTTCCAGGCCGGCCATCCATGGTGAAGGTGGCTGTCGTAAGACGTCGCTACGCTCGGCGTAGCGTTGAGGTCGGATTCAGGAAACAAAACGTATCGGATAAACGAGAGTGATCCGGTCGTTGTAGCGACGGTGGTGGATTGAGTTGGTGGAAGAGGCCGTCACGCGTTGCAGTCGTATTAGAATCAATGAGTCGGCTTGTTGGGGTAGCAGAAAGAAGTCGAAGTCGCTGGGGTGGTGGTGTTTAGGAATTAGAGCAGCCGTCCGCCACGCCTAATTCGCGGCAGCCACGACGCTAGAACACGACGACGTTATTGGCGGATATCAGGCCCAGCTGGTAAATATAGCTGAGGGCTGGTGGCGAGCTGCAGGTCTATCTCGTATCAAGGATACAAAGGTACAATATGTGGCGGACATCACAGAGAGCTCCAGAAGGCTACGAACTCCTGCGCCGTGGTGTTCTCCTGACTATTGAAACGCGTCCCTTTCTCCAGGATCGGTTGCCTGCCAGTCTCCTTTCGCGAGGAGTGCTCCCGCTTGTTTCAATCTCAATCTGAAACGACCATCCGACGGCTATCCGGGAACCAGGAAACGCATACCACGCATTTTATTCGTTGTCATGCGACCATCAAACTATATCGACACCAGGTATATTTTATATTCCACTATGTTCAGTACTTGAAGCCTGGCAGTCGACCACAGCTCGGCGTCGTTTCACAGCACGCAAGGACAAAGAGTACACAAGAAAGCCGGCATGTGGGCATGTCTTAGAAGAATTCAATGCATTTAGTTCTAGACCAAAGAAGAACCGATAACGCTTTCATACCACTCTGTGCTTGTCGTGAATCTGTTCATATTATTCGACAGGGTAGGGCGAGAATGTTGATATTGATATCACAATTTTGAATCAAGGATATGGTTGGAATAGCCTCTTCGAATGTCCCGTCTCTCTTCTACCTAAATGCTATCAAAACGTCCTGATATCATCCATACCCTATTGGTAGTCGCTAAAATGCTCAGATCGAAAGTCCTCTCTCCTCTACCATACCCACTCGCTCTATCCATAACATCATGCTGCATGGAATCCATTTTGAAATCTGTGATACCTATCTCCGCCTACTCCCCCACACTTTCATAAACTCAATCTTCTCCCGCACTCCCAACCCAACCCTTTTCACTCTGCCCAGCCTCGCCAAATCTTCCGCTACTCGATCTAGCACACGCCGCTCGTCAGGCGTGAGCCCATCTTCTACGTCGTCTGAGCCGATGAGAGTGTCGGAGCCGTCACCGATGTCTGTCGTATCTAAGAAATTTGTCTCATGCGAGTTCTTTGCTGCCGCATCCAACCCAGTCGATCTTGACGTGGACGAAGAAGCTGGCGTCGGCGACGTAAGCGTCGGATTGTTATAAACACACTCAGCCACGCGAACACGAATACAGTGCGTCGGTTTCGAGCAAAGCCGCCAGAGCCAGCGCAAATACTCTTGCGGCACTGGCGTTGTGATGTCGCCAGGCGTGTAGCGCAGGTTGACCGGGAAGATCTTTGTATTAGGCGGTGTAGACAGAAGACTAGGGCTGAAAGGAAGGATGCCGCGGCCATTAGTGGTCGTACACTCTGGCATCACTACCACGCTTGCATCTGGGTATCGCGCGAGAATCTCAGACAAGGGTACAAGCTTGTCCACGGAGGAGCGTTGAGGCACGAGTTGCGGTGGAAGGAGCGCGAGCTGCATAGCACGGAAGAGGGAGATACGCTGCACGAGGCGGGTACCGGGGTAGGAGGCTGTGAATATGGGATCGAAGATTGCAGCGAGGTAGAGAGCATCGAGGGGAGAGGTGAGGGAGGAGGCGATGATGGTGCCTGCGGAGGGGAGTCGGGCGAGAGCAGCTTTGGAGTTCAGACTACTGTGGGTTTGTTAGTTCTTCCGTTCTGAGATATCGATTCGAAGGCCCTGCGAGAAGACGAGGACCAAAGGTAGTGTAGAATGCATGAGCGCAATATTGGAGATCGTACCCTCTCTTAACTCGATCTATCTGTAGATCTATCCACCAGATTCCTGGTATTCCGATCATGCACCATAGCACCGCTTTCTTCGCGAAGGACCCGACTGGTAGCCATCGTAATATAGTAAAGTAGAAAATCGAGAAGCAGAGAAGCGCTGGCACTCGGACAGCGAAGAGGAAGAGGTGTACGGGCATCCATAGCAGGCCCGATGGCGGGGAGGTTACGGGGAAGAATGGCGCAATCGCGGTGCCTATATAATCGCTTGTCAGTCAAATACTTTCGACTGGGTACATACAGACGGTAAGCATGAATATGGGAGGATTCTCACCCCGATCCCGAAATTGAGAATATTTCTCCATGGTGAAAGTGAGCTCGGTGAATATCACCGGTCCATCGGCGAGGACGCGGTGGAGAATTTATGGCGATGGCCTGAGACAGTGAGCAGCCGTAATACGCGACTCGTCGTGGGGTGACCAGGGCAGAGAGATATGATCTGTCTTTGTAAGTCGGTTGTCGCCTTTCGCGGTAAGTTAAGGATGATGTCGCATCAGCATGTGAAAGACGCCGCGGGAGAGGCTTAGCGCGGGCAGTATAAGCGGGCGATTTTACAGGGGCCGTTGTTTGTGTGTTTACGTCCCCGGCCGCGAGGAAACCACGACCAACAACACCACAACCACCGCATCTCCCAATTCCGTCCCCACGCCTCGCAGGACGCTATGCGTATATGACTGTTGCGCCACTGCGAAGGTGTTATTTGTATCCACATTGGTCATGGAGGGTGCCAACGAGAACGCGGTAAGCTACTTCCTCCTGCTAGCTTCCATCACCACTGCCCGAGATCGAGCATCGCAATACAGAATTACACTCTAACGTATCCTTCTACTAGATGATGAGGCCATCGGGTCTTCGAAAGCCCAATCCTATCAAAATGCCACAGTCCCCCTCTAGAGGCCTCAGCGAGATATCGGAATCCCAGAGCAATTCAAGAATGCTTCCACCACCGGCGCCAGGACAACCCAACGGCCTCAAGCACAAACTTACCGGAGGTATGGCTTGAAATACAGATACTGTTTGATGCGTCGTAGCTAACTTGGAGTGTGCCAGGCCCAGAGCCAATGCCAAAACAACGCAAGACTTTGGCCGAAAAGGCTGGAGAACCCATCGGCCGTACCATAGCAGCACCTCCCAGCGCTCGACCCGTGAGCACTTCAGTCAGCAAGACTCTCGCCCAGTCGGCCTCTCGTGTACCATCCGCATTGACGCGCACCGCCTCAACATCAAACTTTGGGACCAGTGTGCCTTATGGGTCTCGAGTGCCGTCCGCTATGTCTGCTATGAAGAGCTATGGTCGCCCGCAAACATCAAATTCACATCATCGGAGCGCATCCCACAACAGTGTACAACGCCCAGCTACGGCTCAAGCGCAACGTTCTGCTAGTGAGGAGAGTGCGGCTCTAAAGGAAAAAGGTGCATATCTTCCTTCTTCTATTACCTTTCATCAATCACTACGGACCACAAAGCAGCGATATCAGAACGACTCCAAGGGTTATAATTATTGCAATTATAATAATGAGTCGCATGGTTTCGTCTCGACTTCTCATTCATCTCAACGTCAACAACTTCCCATCACGGACTTTCCAGACGAGGACTTGACTACGATGGTCGAGCATATGAATTTGGCCTCCAGCACCAGGTCTTCAAGAGAATACAAGTCACCTGAGAAAGAGCCACAAGGCCAACAAACTCCTTCTCATATTCCAGTCTTTGCTGCCACTCCTCCACGCTTGATTCCTACGCCCACTCCTGGGATGGGTGTTTCTCCTTCTCCGAGAGGCTCCATTTCTCGGTCGCGCTCACGACCTGTCTCTCCAAGTAAACAATCATTCTTCCTGACCAAAGATTCTAACGTGAGAATAGAGCAATGGGATTACGAGAGTCGATTCCAGACGATAGAAAGTCAGTTCCAGAACATGGCAAAGAAAGTGGAGGGTACTATATCCGAGAAGGAAGGCCTCCAGGAATCCATCAATCAATTCAAAAACAAGAGTGAGTTCTCTCCAAATGTTTGAGCCTCCCTTCGAGAGCTTTTCGTCATAACTCTCTACCAATTTTCAAGTATGCAGATGCTAACGTGTGGTTTGAAACCTGTAGTTAGCGAGTTGGAATCAATTCGACTACAACTCACCACCAACAACACCCGGTTACAAACTGAACTAGACGAGTATCGAGGAAAGCTCTCGAGTGCCACCCTAGCGCTTGAAGAGTGTAGACGAGCCCATTCTTTTGAAGTTGACGATCTACGCCGAAAGCATCGTAATACTACCGAGGACCTTCGAGACGAGCATCGACGTGAACTAGAAAAGATACACAAGGAAAACGACGGTGCTGCTGATAAAAGCCGAAAGGATTTTGTAATAGAGGTCGAGAAGCTCATCAAGCTGCACCAAAATGAGTTAGCTGAACTGCAGCGTAAACTCAAAGTGGAGGTCGAGGAAGAGAAGAGTAAGAGGGCACAGGAACTCGAGGAACTACAAAAGCAATGGGCTTCGAAGTTGCACGGCGTTGACATTGACCTGGATGCCAAGGAAAGAGAGGCACAGAAGGTCAGAGGGGAGCTTTCTATTATCACCACGGACCTGGAACGGGAACGACTTCTGAAGACCTCACTACAGGAAAAGCTATCCGAGGCCACTGGGAACAACATTACCCTGGAAGCTGCCAATCGGGAAATGAAGGCAAAGATCGACTTCCTTGAATCCGATAACCAAGCTCAGTCGAACTCCTTCGCGGAGCTTCATCGCCGCATGCAAGAAGCGATAGAATCCGCAGCTCAAGCCAATGAGAAACTCCGAGTCGAGGAGACTCTACGCCGCAAGCTACACAACCAAGTTCAGGAGCTCAAGGGCAACATCAGAGTCTTCTGTCGTGTCCGACCAACCTTCGCATCCAGCGAAACTGAGCCGGCAAACATTGCCTACCCTGATTGCGAAACCGACAGTAAAGAGGTGGCAGTTCGAGGCCCAGAGCAGCGCACCGCTCTTGGTAACGTCACCACGTCCAACAACTCGTTCTCATTTGATCGTGTCTTTGGCCCAACGTCGCAGAATGCGGAGGTTTTCGAGGAAATCAGCCAGCTTGTCCAGAGCGCGCTGGACGGATACAATGTGTGCATATTCTGTTACGGACAGACAGGCTCTGGCAAGACTTATACCATGTCTTCGCCTGATGGCATGATTCCACGAGCAGTTCAGCAGATTTATGCCGAGGCAACTCGGCTTGAAGAGAAGGGTTGGAAGTACAGGATGGAGGGCTCGTTTGTTGAGGTCTACAACGAGAACATCAACGACTTGCTTGGCAAATCTGAGGACTTGGACAGGAAGAAGCTAGAAATTCGACACGATACCGCTAAGAAACAAACGATAATTACGGATGTCACGACTGTTGAACTGGATGGCCCTGACAGGGTTGACGAGATGCTCAAGCGAGCCAGCAATAATCGCAGTGTAGCAGCTACGAAAGCAAACGAACGATCTTCGCGGAGTCACTCGGTGTTCATTTTGAAGTTGGTCGGCGTGAACAGCATCACTGGTGAACGAAGCGAAGGCACACTCAACCTGGTCGATCTGGCGGGCAGTGAGAGACTCGCACACAGCCAGGCGCAGGGTGAGCGCCTGAAGGAGACACAGAGTATCAATAAGAGTCTTAGCTGTCTTGGAGATGTCATCAACGCGCTAGGAAGTGCAAAGGAGAACGCACATGTTCCTTACCGGAACAGCAAGGTACGTTCAGGCAGAACCTACCAGCTCAGGATTTTTCGACAGGAGTATGTGTACTGACCTCATCCGTAGTTGACCTATCTCCTTCAGTATTCTCTCGGTGGAAACTCGAAGACCCTCATGTTCGTCATGGTCAGCCCTGACCAGGCCCATCTCCAGGAAACAATAACGAGTCTCAAGTTTGCGACCAAGGTTCACAACACTCACATCGGTACTGCTAAGAAGCAGACCAAAACGAAGGACTAACCAATACATCCCGGATTTCTCTATTGCATAAATATTCATGCACGCCACTTCTGGTTACGGTGGGGCCTGGAGGTTGTTGGGTAGATACCCTCACACATGGCATATGATGTATCTTTTTTCCTCGACATGGACTAGCGAAAGTCTTACTGGCTTGCTTCGTGTTCGAGGGCGTTTTCTCTGAGCGGCATTTTTGAGTTTTCATGATCATTGGCGGGCGTTTTGGCTATGGCATATTACTCTGTGCCTCGATGGCGTTTTGGGGGTAAATCTGACTACATTGAATGCAGTCTCTTGTTCGTTCTAGTGCTGAAATCCACCGATGCTGAAGGGTGTTGACTCGATGTTGCTCATTTACAATTTCCATTGTATCGTGCTTCACCTCTATGCCTCCTACCTGGGGCCGCGCTTGCTTCACCAGATCTTCAATTACTTCGTGATCAATGCTATATCTCGTAAGAAGTTAGTCTTCTCCGGTGGCAGTGCTCCTCTGATTTGATGTCGGCTTAAATGGTGAAGCTCCGACATTCCGGCTCTCCGATTGGCCACCAGAACCGCGGATCATCCATCTCGAACTCCCGCCACCCTCTGCCTTTCTTCAACATCAATCCAACTACATCGCCACTTACACCTTACAACATTCAACACGCACGCTACAAACACCCTCTCACGATAATCTGTCTCAATTGAATCAAGACGATGCGCCCTACAACTACCCTCCCCCGCCTCCTCTCCCGCCGTGCCTTTACCACTACCGCCCGCACCCTCAACTCCCCCTTCCGCCCTGGCCCCTCACCCCCCAAGCTCCCACGCGAAGAGCAAGAGCTGTTCGAGAAACTCCAACAAGAAAGCAGTGGGGCGTTCAGTACGCCGAAAGTCAACCAGTCACCTGCTTCGTCCACAGCTAGCGATATGAGGGCACGGATAAACCAATCACCAGATGGAGCCGAGGTGGAGGTGAAGCTGGAGGGAAAGATATTGGAGGAGGAAGGCGAGCAGCTGCATCCTAATATCCGGAGGGGCGCGAAGCCGGAGTTTGAGGGGGATGTCAATCCGAAGACGGGGGAGGTGGGAGGGCCGAAGAATGAGCCGCTTAGGTGGGGTGGGACTGGGGATTGGAGTTATAATGGGCGGGTAACGGATTTTTAGGTGGATAGGTTAGGGATGATTGATGAGAGAGGGGTAGAGGAGTGTCGGTGGTAAAAGACGGGGTGGTGTATTGTAAGAGGGACGGAAGAAGACTACATATCAAAAGACCGTAATAAACTCTATATGGATTTGAGCGCTTTTGCAAACGGACTATATGGCTTGGTTCGTGGCTTTCAAGGCGTTACCTCGGGAATCTGTGTTGAGATCTGTGAGTAGATCCACCCTTTATTCTAGCGAACACTCTGTTGACTAAACGTTCAAGACTATCTAGCAATGCTAATAACTTTAAGCTCGTATGTCGAAGAGGAAAGGTAACCTATCTTTTGCTTCTTTGTTCATTCGAGGCGCCCTTGGTCTCCCGTGCAGAATGCAGATACCATGAATACTTGTCTGATATGCCACTTCCTACAAGAAATATCTTCTCGATTTCTAGCGTTTTTGTCGTATATTTCAACGCCAGGCTAAAGCTAGATCTCAGTTCTATGAACATTTGGTCTGGACGAGAAAGGGCTTTGAAAGCCTCTGGATCATCAAGAGTTGCTTTCTTGGGGCACTTTGATGAATGACGGGAACTGGGAACTACAAGCGATTCTTAGCAGCATTCCAAAAAGTCTTCGGATTTCGGTACTTCAAGAATGCGTGTTTACTACAACACAGCAGAGCACTACTTCTAGTTGAGAAACCTGGTACAAAGGTAAGATCTTTAAGTGTTTGGTCTCATTCTACTAAAATGTGCACACGTAATCCTGAGAGGGTTTGCGGATAGAGAATGCCAACTGACGTACTTCATAAAACATACGTATGGTGTCCAACGCGTGGGCAAATTTCCAGGAATTGAGGCACGTACACAAAACATCGAGCACCTCCTTGCTTGGCTGTAAACCTCGCTCAGTCCGCAAAGTGGTTACATCTCTTCTTCAATGGTTCTCAGGACTGCCTGCGTCTCCAAAATGTCTCTCAAACGTCTATGTACACTACTTGCGGTATTATCATGTCTTTCAATCGCATCTGCTCATATGCAGATGAGTTGGCCATATCCACTTCGCAGTCCATTGGATCCACTTACTCCATCGGAACTGAAAGATTACAACATGATCTCACCACTTGATCCCAGCGGCGACGACTATGCTTGCAAAGGCTACCAATACAACACACCCTGGCGACCGACCGCATCGTACAACCCCGGAGAAACATACAATATCACGTTAGCCGGAGAAGCAACACACGGCGGCGGCTCTTGCCAAATATCTCTTTCATACGACAATGGAGTGACCTTCAAAGTCATCAAAAGTATAATCGGAGGCTGCCCCATTGCGCTGACCTACGGGTTCACAATTCCAACCACAGCTCCTAGCGGCCAAGCTCTGCTCGCGTGGACCTGGTTCAATCACGAGGGTAACCGCGAGATGTACATGAACTGCGCTGTAGTTGATATTGCTGGCAATGGGAGACCCAAATCGAGAAGAGCGGCAAATGCGGCACTTGCCCGTCTACCGAACGTTTATGTCGCGAATCTCGCTGATATCAACTCTTGCAAAACGGTTGAGATGCACGACGTCGTGTTTCCTGACCCGGGCAAAGACGTAGAATACGGCGGCGGCATGAGCTCAGCAAGTACAGCTTCAAGTGAGAGTGGACAGTGTGGTGGTATCGGGAAGGCTGGGACCGTAGAAACACAAGATGGGAATCAAGAGGCACCCCAACCTATCGAGGGCGGCAAGGGAGCCATCCAGCACAATGCTGAAACGCCCACATCAAATTATCCCATAGCTAGCCCGGATTTCCAATCCGAAAGCTCACTCGTTGAATGGCCTAGTATCACCGACCCAGCGGCCTCTCAAGGACTGTCTTCTACCACAGCATCCATACCTATCCAAGAACCTACTCCCATTGAGAAATCTGCAGAGCTTGTAGCACCAGTACTGGCAGAAGAATCTATCACGCCAGAATTACCTCTTCCCAGCGAAGAGGCTGCTGGTCCCGCAGATGTGTCGGCCCAGACATCTGTCGCTCCTGAAATAACTGCCCCCAGCGAAGAGCCTAGTGCCAATGAAGAGATTCCGCTCGAACCATCTATCGCCCTCGCAGAGGCACTTTCCACGGAAGAGCCTGCTTCTACTGCAGAAGCTATCTTGAGCGAAGCACCCGCTCTAACTGCCGAAACCACACCAGCAGATGAGACTGCGGCCACTGAAGAACCAACTGCTCTTCCTAGTTTAGTAGACGATGGATTTCCTCCAGACAATGGTGTCCCGGATGAATTCGCCGGGGACGAACTGGGTCCAGATGGACTTATACGCGTAGAGCAGCCGCTCCGACCCTATGGGCCATTGCGTGAATGCATCCAGCTGCCAGACGTCACAGTCACTGTTACTGCGTCACCACGGAGAAAGGCCACTCGTCGACCTAATCAACCTCCGCCTGATCCCGATCGCACAAAGAAAGCTGGAGGTCCAATCCAGTCTGAATCCGTAAGACCTCCACAAAATGGTGGTCCCAAGCCTGCTCCGCCTCCAAACTGCGATATCTCCAACCCTCCATTCGCTACCGGCGATCCCTCTTCCTATCTCCCCTGCCACCCAGGGACCTTCCTTTGCACATCGTTGACCTCCTACCTTACTTGCATCCAGAGCTCTTCCGGTTGGGCATATGGTGCTCTTCAAAATGTAGCAGCGGGCATGGCATGTCAACCACACCTCACGCCCGACGGCAGTGCCAATGCCAACCCCCGTCCACGCCCGACCCGCATTCCGTTGGTTGCGAACCCAGACGATCCCCAGGCTATTGACTGGGGCAACAATGGCCCGGGTGGAGATAGCGGGAAGCAATGTCCTGTAGTTGTGCCGGGGTACTATCGGGATGACAGGTATGTCGCCCCTCAGGCGAATGGAGGTGGAGGTGGTGACGCTGGAGGCGCTTCGTGTAGTCCAGATGGGAGCTACAAGTGCAATGGGCCAAACGGCTTCATTGTCTGCAATTTTGGGAAATGGGTGGATATGGGAAAGGTGGCCGCGGGCACGAAGTGTGTGGATGGTAAGATCGTTGCAGCGTGAGGGAGATATTCTACGAAAGCTAGTGATGAGAAGCTACACAGTTTCAGAACATGCAAACGCTTGAGTGCTGGAGGGGCTCTCTAGTTAGGTTTGAGTATCGTACATTCATCTTCCTTCAGGTTGTTTTGCAATAAAAAAGGACCATCTGCGTTTCTTGGATATGTGCTTTGGTGTCACCTCCTACTCACATAGACTGATATCACGTGATCACGTATCTTCGCCGTGACTGTCTATCCGGAATGTCCTCTGCAGCTTCTAACCTCTAGACTATGAGATCATGGAGATAAATCCAACTCCGACGTGGACGACCTCGACGATGGCCACCAAAGTCAGCGTCAAAGGAACCGTTCACGGCGCTCAAACTCAAGGTAAACAGCAAACGTTCGCCCTCCAAACTTCCCCTTACACTACTCTCCGAACGCACCTCTGCCATTGCTTCAACCGCGACACGTTCCGAGAACAGCCACTGAACGCACCTCGCAGACGGTCCCGGAGAGAGCTTCGCATCAGAGCCATTCCCCGATTTCACCCTCATCTCGTTCCATCCTTCGATCGAGAAAACCAGCTGTACGTCTCCCCTCGTTACCGCCCTCCGCTCCGCCAATTGACACAACACAGCCAACCCAACCACCGCTCTCTGTACCACCTGCAGCACTGTCTTCGTCACCGCCCTCAACATCCCTCCCATCAACATCACCACGACCTTCAGTACCACGAGCCCCACCGCCATCCTCACCACCCTCAGCATCACCTCTCCCACCATACATCTCCTCAACATAGCCTCCGCTACTACTCAACTCCACCCCGCGTACGTAGACACCCCCGACGACCAATCCACCGACAGGATGCAGCGCAACGACGTCATCATCATCATCCTAGTGTGCGTCTTCGTCGGCGCGCTCGCGGCCATCTGGTTCTGGCTCAGCGTGATCCGCAACAACGTGCAGGCGTATCTGGACCGGTGCGCGGCGGACGAGGATAGTATGAATGGCGGCAGCGGAGGAAAGGGAGGGATTAGGGATGTTTGAGGCAGTTGATGGGGAACTGTTGAGGCGGGACTGGGCGGGCGATTGGGGTCCTGCTATTGAAAATGGACGGACGACTGGGTGATGTGGGAGCTTTGGCGGCGAGGCTCAATGAGGGAAACGAGTTGTGGGATGTTTGGGAGCGGTGTGAATGATTGATGGGCAAAGGAATGAGCTTCCCGGGTTACTCACGAAGCACGACGCCACTCATTGTTCATGGAATTGATCGACTTAGGGTTGTTGATTGATACGGTGTAGACTACAAACAATGAAAAGCACCTACAACTCTGAAAACCTTCTTCAACCCCATATACCTTGGTCTGTGTACATTACAAGCGAGCTTACCAATTGTGCACGATGATCAGTTTCCCTCTCGTTCATATTTCTCAATATTCCTTGAAAACTTCTACGCAGTGCCAAGAAGGCGTATACAAACCTATCACATAGCATTGATAGAGCAAACATCGCTACATTACCCTTCAAAGAGCGAAGTTTGCGTCGCATGTGAGTACTAGACCGAGAACAACAAACACAAGGGCGACATAGCAAACAAGTTTGCAAATCTTAATGTTCCCATTGATTAGGGCCCATGTCTTTCATCGTGCATCGTCCTCGCGCATATATTTTGTAAATCTGATTCCTACCTTTTTTTAGCTTCATCAATCATGAGCGACGGCGGCGCGACTGTCGCGATCATCATCGCAGGCGTTCTAGGAGCCATCTTGGCGTGGATCAGTGTGCATTTCTGCCGGAAATGGATCAAGAAACGGCATGCCAACATGGAGCGAGAAGATCACCTGAAGGAAATGCAGGCGGCGCAGGACGCAGAACGCGGGCGGGATCGAAAGCGGAAACGGAGACCAAGAGAAAAACGTGATGATCGCGAGGCTCCAGATTGGCAAGTGCCTGCTCCAGAGGTACGGATGCCGGAGGAATACATACCTCAACCTCCTGTGGAAGAATTACCACCGCAGCCACAGCAGCCACCACAGCCGCCGCAGCCGACGATGCCGGAGCCGGTTCATGTGGACTATATTGCGGAGGTTGATGAACTGCCTGAGGTTATAGCCGGTCTCCAGGGTAGAAGGGTGCACGAACGAGATTGTCGATCTTGTTCGACGGATTCGTCATCATCATCTTCGTCCTCTTCGGCTGCTCGACGCAGTCGAACGTCTGATACGACAAGAGAGAGCCGAGAGAGACCACTTGAAGACAATGAACCAAGACCATACGTGCGCAATCATCAACCGAATCCTCGACCGCCTCCAAGGATGCCACCCCGAGTCTCCCAGGGCTTCAATTTCAATGGCATGCCACCTATGGCGCAGGATACGGGGAGAGGCGGCCGGAGAGGCCAGAGATGGAGGTATGGAACTACCAGCCCGAGAGGGACGAGACAAGTATTGAACCAACCAGATAGGACGAAAAGGCGAAACGCACCGAGTAATACTCCTCCGTGAACCATAGACCTCTCGTGGGGCCAAACCTTAGATCGTTAGTCTCACGGTTTGAACACTCACTGACCCACATGTTTGCTTGTAGTGACGGCAGTCCCTGAAGAAACACCGACACAAACGAGGCAATTCGATGTTCGACGGCCTCCAAGCAATGCAACCTCTGAACTAGTCGAAGAGCGCCCTGAGCCTCCGCAAACGGTTATTCCAGAATTTGGACGTTCGGCCCAACCCCCTCCAGAAGCATCAGAGGTCGTAGACGATATCCCAAAGGCAGAATCGGAGGGTGAAAAGAACTCAGCATTTGTGGTTGACGATCAAAGGCCCGAACCTTCACCAGTACGTCCAGAGGCTGCCATGGACCATCCCTTTGAGCCTGTCATACCGGAAACATTGATCGAGATGCCACCAATGCCGGACTCAGTGTATCTTCACAGTCCCGCAACGCCCACTTCGCTTATATCCAGCTTTCACACCTGCCACTATGCGAATAGTTTGAGACGTCCAAGCTCCGACTTCTCTGGTGTGTATCGAGGGGGCGGGGAGGGAGCGTCGTCAATTGGGACAAATGAAGAGTATTTCCAGCGCAATCTTGATCCGAATGGGGCATATATGTATTCGGACTCACGGCCAAATAGCAGCATGGAGGCGGTGATAGGACGGCCGCCGTCGATTATGTCGTCGTTGGATGGGTATGGAGGCAGGTGAAGGATGATCGGTGTCAGTAGCAATTGCCGGGACAATGAAACTGGCTGCATGCAGTGAAACGGCACTGGAGCTGTACAAGCCGAACTACAACCATCTCTTCTACAAAGCTACGGACGGTGCATGTTTGATGGTGTTCTGTGGTTTGTAGGTCGTCGAGAGAAGCTTGCAGGGCTTGTCACATCAGTGGGGCTTAACCATCAGCGGCGACGGACGTCACGCCGCCTGCCCTCTGCTTGACTCCAGGGCCAACCACTTCCATTCTCACTACAGCAACACCACCGAGTTCCATGCGCCGCCGACACTGTGCCGCCGTATTGCCTCGCCATCTACACGCTGCATAGTCTACCCTATCCCCATAGCACTGCACCATGTGGGACGACGAGGACAACAACCCCTACGGATCCTTCGTCCGACACGATTCGGATGCCTCCCACGCTCCTCATTTGGGCTCGCCCGGCAGCCGTGAGTCTCATGCTGCAAATCTGCTCGCATGAAGCTCTGCAGCTAACTCTATCATGCTCCTCAGTGCCATACAGACCAGCCACCCCTCCATCGGACGTCTCCTCTCCCCGCAATGAGTCCCCAGAGTTCATTTCCCGGCCTGGGAACATGAGCGAAGTCGACTACGACGAAGACCACACCGAGGGGACCAAGATAGAGCCCAAGAAGGGCGGTTATGATAGCCGGGTCGAGATGGTCTTGTATGAGAATCCAGATCTGCCCATTCTTATTACATACGCGGGAAAGAACCTCGAGGGCGGCGGCGGCTACATTGCGTATACAATCAGGACTGGTGTAGGTTATCTAGGAGCTACAGCTGCAGCTTCCCGCTTAATATCACGTTAGGATCTCGAAGTGCGCCGAAGATACTCGGAATTTGCGTCACTCAGAGCGACTATGGTCAACCTGCACCCCACCTTGATTATACCGCCAATACCAGAGAAGCACACCATGGCAGACTATGCCGCGAAGCCTACCAAGGCAAAAGAGGATGCGGGTATCATCGAGTTGAGAAAGCGCATGCTGGCGGTGTTCCTCAATCGGTGTAGGCGCATGAAGGAGGTCCGGGAAGACGGCGTGTGGTGGAGGTTTCTGGACCCAAATGCGAGCTGGGTACGCTCTCTCCCCAAGATCCAATATAAGTAGCAAAGCTAACCGGTACTCTGCACAGAGCGAGGTACTAAACTCAGATCCGGTGAAGAACATCCCGAAGAATGTCCTCAAAGCACCACCGCTTGACGCTGCGAATCCGACACCTGCCCACAACTTCCTTCCCGTCCCATCAGCTTCAGCGAAACTTAAGACAGTCGGCGGAACCACAGGTGCCGGCATTCCCACAACTCCACCCAGCCACGCCGCCCAACCATCAGCCGCCTCACATACCATTCCTGGGCCGCAGGTATTCGGCCGATTTCCGCCCACATCGCAAAATCTCTCAGAGGAGCAACTCGACCCATACTTTGTGAACTTTGAAACATCGTCTCGGGACCTGGAGGCTCTGCTCCAGGGGAGTATGGAAAAGGTAAACCGCAGGACACTTACACACCTAACCTCCTGGGGCGAAGACATGGCCGAACTAGGCGCAAAATTCAACGCCTTTTCCCTCTCGGAGCAATCACAATCCCTCGCCGCAGCCATCGAGAAAACCGGCCAGGCCGTCGACTCCACCTATATCGCAACCGCCGAGCTCTCCTCCTCCCTCAGCGCAAGCTTCGCCGAACCCATGCGAGAGAGCGCCCAATTCGCAGGCGTCGTCCGCAGCGTACTTCGCTACCGCATCCTTAAACGGATACAAGAGGATATGACAAAAGACGAGCTTGAGAAGAAGAAAGCGCTCCTCGAAACCCTCGAACGCAGCGAAATGGAAGCGCGACGGCTCGAAGAGCACTTAAATGCTCAGGGCAGCCCTTCAGGTCCAAGGCGCTCCATATCATCCGCCTCACAACGCGCTAGCACAGACAGGAAGCGACGAGAGGAGGACACGGCGTCCATAGACTCAGACTTCCCGCCGACCCACGGCGAGGCCCAGCCACCCTCGGCTTCGCAAGGCGCCCCTGCGCACTCGGCGCCCAGCTCGCCGACGGGCGGCCACAAGAAGAGCCCGAGCGGGAACTTTGTGACGACGAAGATTTTCGGGCGCATCAGTCATGCGTTCCAGGGCATGGCGGATGTGGATCCGGAGAGGACAAGGAGGGATCAGATTGGAAAGACGAGGGAGAGCTTGGTTCAGGTAGGCTCTATACCTAATGTCCTCGGTAACTATACCCGATGCTAATTCCTCCACAGCTCCAGCAAGCTCTCGAAGTCGCGGAGAAAGATACCAAAGACGCCTCGCGCGGCGTGCTGAAGGACCTGCAACGGTTTCAGACAGAGAAGGAGGAGGACTTGAAGAGGTATATGGTACGTATAGCCACTCTCCTACGAACTCCCTATATCGCCAGGAACAACAGCTAATTTTTTTTTATTGCAGATTGCCTTCGCAAAATGCCATATCGACTGGGCGAAACGGAACCAAGCATCATGGGAGGAAGCTAAGGCCGAAGTTGCTAATATTGACGCGCACACCGAGCAGGATATTTGAAGGCTGCAAGCCCCATCCACTGGCTTGCCTGAATCGGGAGGATGGGAAATCGGCATTAGGTCTGGGATTCCCCGCTGTATCAGCTAGACATACCTAATTCAGAAGTGTGCTATACATGTATTGTTGAGGGTTCACGCTGCGAGAATGGTTTCTGATTGACGCGTGACTGGGAGTCCAGTAAGACAGTATAATGCCAGTTATGACTACAGACGCAGACCCTGGCTCTGACCCATTTTGTACGAAGCATGAGGTATAAGCAAGACAGAAGAAAAATACCCGCTAAAGCTCCTGGAACCGCAGAATGCAAAGCAACACGCCTCCCAACCATACCCTACCGAACCGAGGCCCGAGCGCCGTACCAGCCCAATCAACCCAGAACCCAAACGACCAACCTACCAAACCTTCTTGAATACAATCTCTTCCAATCTATGGTCCACCCCAGCCCCGAAGTCGCCCCCCCCCTCTAAGCCGTCAACGCACTACTAACCCCCAACACCGCCATCCCCACAAACGCAAACACAAAGCACGCATTCTTGCTATGCGTGAGATCCAGACTCTCGCTCAGCAGCTGCACCGCCACGCTCGCCATGATCCCCGCCGTGACCGCAAACATGCACCCATACACGCGCGCATCGTCACCGTCGGCGCCTCTGCCTGAAAACCGGATCCAGAGTGCCGCGACGCCCGCGCCGAGCGGCTGCGACGCGCCGCCGAGCAGCGAGGACCAGAACATGGCCTTCCAGCGCGAGCCGATGGCGAGGTACATGGGCAGCGCGAGGGTGAAGCCCTCGGTGAGGTTGTGGATGAAGAGGGCGAGGAAGACGGCCGCGCCGAGCGAGGGGTTGGCGTGGTTGGTGGCGTAGGTGATGAAGCCTTCGGGAAGCTTATGCAGGGCGATGGCGATGGAGGTTTGGAGGCCGATGGAGAGGAAGGCGTTGGTCGGGACGTGGTGGTGGTGGGAGGGGTGGGTGTGGGCTTTGTGTAGTGAGGAGGTGGAGGAGGATTGAGTGGAGAGGGTGCCCGTGCTGGGGTGTTTGTGGAGGGAGGGGTTGCTGCCGTTGCTGCTTGTCTTGGTGGTGTTGTGTGAGTGGGACGGTTCGGTGGCGGCGGTTAAGGGGGCGCCTTCGTTGACGCTTTGGAGGAGGGGTTGGCGTTCGCCCGTGAGAGTGGATGTATGGGGAGTCGACATGGTTCTGAGGCCTGCAGGACGGGCTAAAGGGGGATGGGCTCTGGTGCCTCCTCTTGATTGCACGATTTTGAAGCAGTCCTGGCCGCATGGATCGGAGTAGCCGAAACATTGGCCGTCCTCGTCGCAGAGGCGTTTTGATCCAGTTACGAGACCACTAACCAGTTGCTGCAACGAAGGCCTTCGGTGTTCTGCATCGCCGTGGTGGATTCCGTTGACGACATGGGTGTGATCGCCGTGTAGTTGTTCTGAATCAAGATCTGTGTTGACGGCAGACTCTGAGCCCATGGATAGGTGATACTGTTTTTGAAACCCAGGATCCCGCACCAGCTGCGGGCTTTTCTGATGTTCGTCACATTCTTGGATTTCTTCTCCCTCCTCTTCATCGTGAGCATGGTCACAGTCGACCGTTTCGTGCGGAATATAACGATGTATAACACGTGAAATAAGCTGGATACCAATGACACCTGCCAAAAAGCACCCAATCGTGATCCAAGCGGCAACTTTGGGAGAGAGTCCAGATTTATGCAAGTACTGTTTTGCGGATGGCAGCATGCTGTACAGCGATGAGAATATCTAGTCACGGGTCAGTGGGAAGATCCACTCATCGACAGAATGTTTGCATACCATGACCCCGAAGCTCAAGCTTAGTGAACATGATAGAAAATTATTGCTGTTTTGGATCTTGAAGTTCTTTTGCCCCGGAAACTGCCGTACTATAACGTCTACGCATATCACCGAAGCTGGTTCATCCATTAGCCACTCTGTACACAAAGAGATAATTTGTAGATCACGTTACCTCCAGCGATGCAAGCTACGAGACAGATATCAATGTTAGCAAGGCCCAGTGCAAAGGCTCTTGGGCGACGGTACCTATGCCACTAATACTAGACATGATCCATCCGCGGGTGTCATTATCTAACGGCATCGTAGACACACGTGAGGCGGCTCGCCTCGTCCGGGTAACAGCAGCAAATGACGTTTGACGGATACTCGCAGGTGGTATTGAGCTTGAGCGAACCGTATCCAATGTCCCGTGGAACTTCCAGTAGCTTATTGAGGGTACGTCGGTAACGCTGGGGAGAGATATTGATGAGTGAGTCGTGATGGCCACTTTGTCCGGCTGTATGTTGAAAGCACCTTGATGGTCGTTGCCAAGTTTGCCTAAGCTTCATTTGCTCTAGTCAGAGCCACCGCAGCCATTCACCGCGCGCTTATTACACAAAGGTCGAGTTTGATTACATTTTACACATTGTTACTCATGAACATCTTTAGTTCGTAGTGCAAACAGTAGACATTTTCTTATGCTTGGGTGCTTATCTAGCAGCGACCGAATCGAATTGCGCGAGTTCCACTTCATTCTATATAGCAAAATGCCGCACTAGAACACCGTCATAACCGCCGTTGGGAAGACACACCACGGTCTCGAGCTTAAATGCCTCGGACCCATCCATTCCACCCCAGTAAACGCCATCGCTATGCATATGAAAACAAAAGGCAACCGAGATCGCGGTGGTATCATACAAAGCCTGAGGCTGAAACATGCCAGTTTACATATAAAGTAAAGTCCGCTACTAAGTAGGTTGTCCTCCGGCAGGTATAGGAATGGGTAGATTCACCCACTTCCCATCCCCTGGCGCTGGGTTTTCGTTGATGAGCAGCAGCTTCCTGCCACCGCAGAAGCCGCCTGGGCCCGCTAGGCGCTTAACGTCGTGGTATGCGCCCTTAAAGCCCTCCACAGTCAAATTCCCGGAGAAGACAGCGTCAGGATTGTCATACTGCCAGACTTTGTCTGTCGCCTGCTCGCCAGGCTGCTCCGTACGGCGCGGGTTGAATAGTGGCATGCCCACCATGTGACTCAGGATGTTGTGAATCAATGAGTAGAGGCGCTCGGGGCGGCGGGTGAGAGCGAGCCAGGAAAGTGTGTTCGAGTCATACGCGACACGCACAAATGGGTTCATGTAAATGCCTGTATCTTCAGTCACGTTGAGCCCAGAGCGGCGATGCTGCAGGTCGGCGTTTATGAGACAACATTCAGAGGAGTCCCAGAAGATATCCTCTTCGAAGCGGAAGCGGAGTGGGGAGGTAGAGGGGGGTGAATCGGAGGTAGAGAGTGCGGAGGTGATGCTGGCGGTCTGGAACCAGCGGGCTTCGAAGGCAGTCATGCCGCCCCAGCAGCTGCGAACACGGACGGCGTCCTTATTAGCAATGAGGTCACGTCGACTCCCTCCAGAGCCTGCGTCGGTGACCCAGGGAAAGAAGGGAATGCCCATGCTGTAGCCGTCGAGGTCGCGGGTAGCAAAACGGTCGTAGAACTTGAAGGGGTTGATGAAGTCCACGGCGCAAGCAGCACCGTATTGGGTGCGCCCGTTTGAGTCCACTTTAGTTGAGAAGAGGAGCTGTGCGGCTTCAATGGGATCAAAGACGACATCATTTATAAAGAACAGCTTGTCGAATGTGATCCCGGCGGTTTCAAGAGGACGTAAGGCTCGATTCCGGACTTCTGCGAGGAAGGCAATTCGCTTTACACGCTTTTCACCTGAGGGAAGCGTGACGCGTGGGATGCTGTCGAGTCCGAGGTGCTCTGCAACTATGGAGGAATTGCCTGTTTGGTTAGCTATGAAGATTATGAAGTGCCAGAAAGCCTCTTACATGTGACTCTCTTCTCAAAGTCCTCTAGAGCTTTCTTCGAACCAGGGTCGGGATCGTTCTCGTACACGCTAAGGTAGACATTTTCGGGACCAAGCAAATCCACGAGACCGATGATAGCGTCTCCCCAGGCCCCTCCGGCCAGCATGCCGTCCTCGTCATATACACTAGCTGCAATAAAAACCTTTTCCTGATTTATGTTGGCTCGTCCTGGCTCGGAAGAAGCCTCAGATCTTGCCCGGAGTTCGTTGTAATGCGCGGGGCGGTGGGTGTAAGAGGGTATAAAGGCTGCCACGAACAAGACCAGGCCAATGAGGAAGTATGGGAGCACAATCAAGGCCCAGTATACAGAGCGAAATAAGCATCCTCTGTGTCTCCGAGGGCGGGGGAATCTGTATGCAGTTGCTCCTTTGGCGCTCGTGGGCTGTCGACCGGTGCGAAAGAACGGGAGCCACGAAAGAATGGCTGGGAGGGATCGATAGGCGTAGGCAGGTTCCTCGAAACCATGGCGGTCGCTGGAGTCTGAGGAGTTCCTTGGGAGCAACTCATAACTGACCGAAGAGCGGCGCAGAAAGGAAGCCATCGAGGGCAGTCGGGAGGGGGGCCGCTCGGAGGTGGTTCCTGGCGCGTCTACATGAAGAGAAAGGGGGACTGAGGGTTTGGAGCGGCGACGGGCGTGAGATTGGGTATATGAACGCGTGGCCATACGAGCACACGCGGCGGGAGGAGGGAGGAATGTACTATTATTGCATCAGCGTAAGATGCGGACGCGGTGGTGGGTTGAGGCAGTGCAGTTGCAGGTGCTGATCAGCTCTTCGGGCCATGGACTGGTGCTGTTCGCAACTGCGCACGAATGAAACGCGCCATAGCCAAATAACCGACTCTACCGAGTCTGCCTAGACCGTGCATCGATTGGGCAGAGGGGGGACGTACGGAGCGCTCCGGTCGAATCAGGGCATGGGAGCGACATGCCCAGTCGCAAATTGACCGACATAGCGTTAGACTGGGAGTGTGGGTATTTATGCCCCATGGCTCAGCTCCTTACATAACACGCGCACTTTAACATCACTTCGCCCGAAGCCTTCCCATCCTTTGCCCTATGTGCGGCAAGGCTCCCTGACGATATGTCGAACTTAGTGCTGTAGCAATAATACAGATACGAGGTTGGTTTCTGTGCGCTGAACAGAGGCGTTCGCCTAGATTTGGTGTTAGATCGTCTTTTCAGCAGTGACTGATGATGCGCCCTGATGATGCGATCCCGCCTGGTATGCGGAACTCTTGAGCTCTGAGGCAAACCCAGCTCGTGAAGTGATAGCTAGTCAAGTTTCAGGAGTAGCTCGGTCCTCCAATGCCAGTAGGTGTGACAGTTCGACGAAAACTGCAGAAGATGGCACAGAGCCCGGGGCGCGAGCCAGAGGACCTATATATGAGCCATGACTCTCTAAGGGTGGAGGGTTCTTCTATAGGTATAAGACATACGTCTCTTGCATTTGCTGTAGCCTTCCGCGTCTTTCAAATGTGTGTTTGGGGTGGCCTTTTCTCCTCGTCGTTGTGCCAAAGGGTAAACAAAATCGCGTCAGGTCTTTCGTAGAAAAAACAACAAAATCATCTCTGTTCTTTCATAGCATTAAGTCTTCTGATGAGTTGTTAGGGGACGCTCATCTGCACAGTCTGTTCAGCGTACCTAGGTATGCTCCAGGTCTGAAGGAGCGCTGGAGTTCCTTCCGGCCTGAGCTTCTCCTCGATCCCCCAGACAACCCTCGAACTTCTTCATCGCACCCGCGGCTGCTCGACGCTCTCTCTTACCGTTCGCAACTACCAACCTCTACATCGGCTGCAGCCGACTTCTCTGCTTGGCCCTTTCAATGCAGCGCTAGGGATGCGCGTGTCCGGTCCTCGACGCGCCTTTTCCGAAGCTCAAGCGCGAGATCACAACAAAAGCAAGCAGCCACACGCCTACTCCACCCAGCTGGACGAGTGCATTACCTCACTTGTCCTGCTCAACATCTCTGCTGAAGGCGAGCACCCTCTGGCAACTATTGAGCAAGCCTGCAGCACTTCACGTGCTGGGCCGCCTGCTGGACCTCACTCTCTAACCTCGCTTCGTAACGCAGACCAACAACAAAACAACTCGGCCCGCCCTCGCGACTTGTCACTCTTCCGCCTACCACCGCACGTCGCATCGCCAGACGAGCAGCATCCAGGTAAGCCTCCTGTCACCTACCTCATCTCTCATCACTAATATGTCTCGTTAGAAGCGGCCATGCACAAGAGCAAGTACGCCACTCCCGCTGCGGCCCCCAACGGTCCCGGTCAACAGTGCGCACCCTCTGGCACGCAGCACGGCGGATCTGGTCGCCTCACGACAGCCCCGCCGTCCCGTCCTGCCCAGCACGCACTACGCGCGGCTCAGAATGCTACCTTCTCGAATGGACCCCCCTTCTCCGGTCAAGATGCTCGAAGCGGCCCACAGACCCCGAGACCGGTCGTTAGGGATTCGGATGGTCTCTGGCCATGGCCAGGCAGCACCACTACTGGCCCTGCGGTCCCTGGCCCTAGACCTACTGGCCAGTCCGTCTTTGGCGAAAACCTGAACGCGTTCAAGCCTATTGCGAAGACCGACTTCATCAAGAAACCCACCGTCAAGATGGTCCCCAATAGCGACAAGCCAAAAGTCACCGGCCTCAACAAAGAGAATCTTGAGTCGTCCGACGCACTGAAGACGGATGAGGATAAGAGAGCGCAGGTCGTGGAGCAGTTCAAAGCGGCTGTCAAACCAAAGGCGGAGCAGGCATCAGGAGCCACCAAACCCGAGAGTTCTGCCGCTGCAGCCAACAAGATTCCTTCTGGTACGCCCAATACCAAGCCGGCCACCAAGCCGGCCACCAAGCCCACCATCAAGGTTGAATCGTCCAGTGACGAGGATGATGAGTTGGCTGCAAAGTTTGCTAGGCTGCAGGGCATTACGCCAAGCCGGGCACGCAGTCAAGATCATCCTCAAGCCACTGAGAAGAAATCTGGTGGACATTCAGCCCCTGACTCTCCTGCGCGTCTTTCCAAGAACAATATTGACGCATATCTTGCAGCTACCACTTCTGCCGATAAAGAGTTGCGCGCCACCCAAGCGGCATCTGCTACAAATATATCTGGCCAAGCCTACCATGGTATTCCGCGCGACTCCACGAAGACAAGCGGGACTACACGTGCTGCCGTTCCTTCCAATTTCAATAAGGACACTATTGCTCTGGCGGAGAAAGCCGCCAAGCAGGTTCAAGAAGGAGTTGCCGCGCATCTCGATTCCCTTTCCGAGGGCAAGCACAAACCTTTCACCAAAGCTGAAATCGATGCATCTGGACAGCGCCTACGCACGGCGGTAAATGGACGGCCTATTTCGTTCTACAAGTCGGATCAATTCCGAAAGGCTATTGTGGGAGCCATAGCCGACCACTTGAATTCGCTGGACTGCAATCCTGGACAACCCATCACCAGTGCCCTCATCCACAACGTCCTCACTAGCAATGGCCGAAATTACCTGAATCTCTGTGCTCGGCTTGTGTCTCTTGGAGTTATGGGCGCCAACGAGGACGAAATATTCAACTTGAACAATGCAATCCAAGCTGCCGAGGACAAGCTCTGGTCGACCTTTCCACGAAAGGAAGCTGCGTCTACTCGAGAGACGTCTACCGAGAACGCTTCTTCTCCGGGGACCAATATGACGAACCTTTCGACGACGGCGCAGCCGGATGTGGACTCTAAGCCAAAGTTAGACACCAAGCCCGAGGTGCAAGCCAAACCAGTCGTCGAGGCCAAGCCAGTTGTGGAGACTAAGCCGGCCGTCGGGGCTCAGCCGTCTACTCCGGTGAAGGCTCCTCTGAGAGGCGAAGCGTCTACTTCTGCGTCTCCCTCCGGTATTTGGACTCCGAAACAGGGGATAGCTCCGGCCAACATGGCAGCCTGGCCTTCCCAGATGAAGCGCGAGAATCGTAAGCTGTCCATACTTGTGGTGCTTTCTCAGCCCCATGTGGAGAATTACAATCGTTCAATATGACATGTACTAACTACCTGACCAGGGGCCCAACATCGCCGTGCTATCCTCAAGGGAATTCCCTCGGACTGGAAGCTGGACCAGATCCAAGCTCACATCTGGGGCGGGCGCATCGAGCGTATCGAGATGAATGCCGGCAGCTCGACCGCTTGGGTCAAGTTCATGACGGTGGAGGGGTACAACAAGTACTTCGCTGCCACCGCGAATGGAATCGAGATCGCCGACTCAAATAGGCTCATTCTCGCCGAACCTGATGAGGGCCCTCACTCCGCTAACGATCTTCTTGAGAGCCTAGTTGCGGACGGTTCCACTCGCTGCATCCGTGCTCTTGATGCAGAGGAGGGTTGGAGCATGCCCACCTTGACCCGCATTGCTAGGGGCAAGGACCGCAAAGTTGACAAGATCAAGATAGGCAAGGAGAAAGGCGTACGTATAAATACTCTGTACGTGACATAATTGTGCTAACCTCTCTACAGCGCAACTTCGTGGAGTTCCGATTCTCTAGCGTCTACGAGGCCCTGTTCTTCAGGAAGGAGCTTATGGATGACGAAGACTGGGAACCTACCACCATCGTCTACGCACCAGACCCATGCGACGTTCACAACGGCATCCACCTTGATGACTAGGTCGGAATCGGGTCCTTCGAATACAGTACGCTTGCAGATACTGCAATGGTTTGGGTTCGTCTGTCAACGGAGAATGAGGTCTTGGCCTGTTTCTTCATATTTGGGAAAGATACAGTCGTAAACTGTTTTTTCTCACTTTCATTATGAGAAAACTTTGGGTGTGATTTTCTTTTTCTTCTCAGGGGCTGTTTAGGTGGATTCTAGCTCAAGAAATGATGGCATGGATACGGCTTGCTACGTGTGGAATACCACTTGACAGACAATGAAAAGACACTAATATTGCGATGCTGCTGTCCCTCTTGATTTTGGATTGATAAAGTTCGACTAGCCTTGGCGTTCCTCGCAAGAAAGTTTCTTGAGCAGCTACGGTTTGCAGAATGCTCCCTTTCGACACTGAGTGTGATTGAGGCAGAGTTGTTGGTTTGATTACATATACAGAAGAGTGGACTAATTGATAGATCCTACAAGCAGAGGGGTATAATGCCAGTATCTTACAAGATATTCAAAACGTCACCTCACACAATCACCACACACCATCCCTTACGCATCCCCGC